GGCTTTCTTATTATTAAAGGGTACTCTTTACTTTACTCTTTTCATTATATAATTACTATTGCGTGATTAACGATAGTTTTCTAAACACACACACACAGTCACAAAATTAACCAATTAACTGCTAATATAATTCGAAACGTGTAACTTACACAGAAAGGATAGAACAGAGGTTTTCTACCATATTCAATACCATTTTAATAGATTGGTAGAGTGTCAATCTTTTAACTGCGCTCATCTAAACGAGCTGATTGATGTTCATAATATATAGCTTTAGCCACGGCTAAAAGCGAAGCTCTCGATAATATTTATAGTTGGTTCAAACAAAGTATAAAAACGTGTAATGGTAAGCGGCGAAGGCAACGCTGAAGAACGTTGAAAAACAACAATAGGTATAATTAGCAAAAATTAAAAAGCAACTTTGCACGTGCAGGTCACTTATTTTGTTCATTTCTTTGCCGTCGTTTTGCACGAGACAACGTGAAACTTCCAGAAACCTCTTTAATAGTTGTACGTTTTATGGAGGAATTGTCGTACGTGTTCTCGTTCACTTTTTTTTATTGCCGCTCATTTTCATGTTGCATTGGTGGCCGCTACCTTTTCCTATTTTGCCTCACCGCCGCTACAAAATTTCCATGTTGTTCTTCCAACAAAAAAATGTCTCCTTCGTTTTTTCTCTCTCGCTCTAGATCTCTGTCGCCCTTTTTCGCGTTGAGCTTCGCTGGCCTGCAGCCTGACTTTCTCTTTTTCTCTGCCTTTCTCCTGCTCTATATTCCAAATTTTTGGACATGCTGGACAATGAATCTAAGCTGAATACTTTAGACAACACGGATACAGAAACAATTTCCGCTTTCCATTTTCGTCTTAATTGACTCTGGCTCTGCTTTGCAAGACGCCGGTAATTATGTGATTTCCCGCCAAAATAACCTCGAGTTGCATTTGGGTTGCCATACCTGTTGAGTTATTTTACATTGGTATGCCTTTGGTGTGGACGGACGGTCGCTCGGGCGGTCGTTGTACGGTCACGTGATTACCAAATTTTCTCGGATGGGTAGTTTACTTCATTTTCTTACCCATGGTGCTCCGCTGGCGCGCTTAGAGCGCGAGAGCTCCGCTATTATCGAGGTCCTTGCCGGGCGTGTAGTTTTTCGTAGTTTGAGTTGGTGAGAAGGTTTCATGACTCATGCAGTAAAAAGTATTACAGACTGTTTTTAGTGACTTACGTCATTCACACCTTTACAAAGAGAAGTAAAATGTAAGTGATTGAAAAAGTTTAATATTTTCAGTATTTTTCTTTCTTTATTTTATTTATTTTGTTTTTATATCAAACGAAATGACAAAAGGCAGCTGTAAATTAAACCTCCCAAGAGGAAGTGCTCAAAAGGAAAGAAATTTATATGCGTTTGAACTCTAGACTACAGAAATTTTCCCTTTGTCATAGTTAGAAATCTTTAACAATAATCCCCTCAAGAGCTAAGCGTCAAAACCTTCCAGAAAGTTTAGTCTGCATAATACGGAAAATGATTGCACAAATAATTGAACATCTGCTTCTTAGCACGAGCAATATTACTACAGAAACAAGAAACTACCAACGCTTATTACCATATTTAATACCATTGGTCTAAACAATCGGCAGTGACAGTAATGTCACAAACTTCGAAGACTTCAACCTGAAACTCAGAAGCTAATCTGGTAATTAAGGCAATTTTTATCGACGCGGCGTTCCAAAGTTTTTCTGCTTTGAGTACATGGTGCCTTTAAGTTTTAAAATGTACCTAGCAACAGGAGCAATGGAAACATATCGGCAACAATGTACGCAGTCATTTACATGTACCCTGATCTTTGCTACGACTATTTCCAGGAAAAAAATATTTTTAGATAAGCCTGTATCAATATAGTGTAATTCTTAGCTGTGAACATTTGCTAAGGATTCGATTAGGACACATGTACTGCCTTTAAACAAAGATACCTGTATTTGAGAAAGCCCACTATTTTAACTTATGTTGAGGTTCCAACATTATATAGTATGTTGGTTTCAAGGGCCGTGACAGCATTGAACCCCAGCAAACCAGGAGTTTTTTGTGTTGGTTTTTGCTCTACCTTCCCCCCTTCTTTTGTTTTTCTTTTTTTTGTTAAACATGTATTGATTACTTTGGAATTTTCTACCAAGCTCTGCATAGTACCTGGATTGTGTGTATTATATTTTGTTAGAAATTTAGTTAACTGATATGTTTTTAAAATTGATGTTAACCCATTTTTTTGTTTTTTTTTTCACTCGGTATTTCACTCTTTGTAAGTTAAATGAGAAGTAAACTCTGTTTTATCATGGCTGCTGGGCCTTTGCCCAGTGGCAGTTTGGTTTCATCTCTATTCAAATCCCCAAAAAGGCATACTCACTTAAAAATCACTGGTTCAGCCTAAATAATGGAACATCCAAAAAATTACCATTGTTTCCGTCTTTTAGAGATTTTCCCTTAAAGATCCCCCCTCCTGAAATTTCTAGTCATGCTCTGATATAATGGGTGGGTATTTAGCCAAAAACTCTTTCCTAACCTTTAAGTGATTACTTAAAGGTCATAACAGTCGTAATAGTTTTCATGTTCCTCTTATGCTCTTTATCCCCATTTAAGTGGCAAGTACATGTAATTAAAGTTTGTGATCCATTTAAGTCATCTTTACCTGTACCACTTAAAATCCTATTAAAGGCTTTAACCCATTTAAGTCACCTTTACTTTGAAACTTTAAAGGCAGGAATGTTACTCTTGTGTCATGTGCATTTAATGACCACTTAAACAATCTTAAAGATACCTTAAATTGAAATTCTACATTTAAGAGATTTAATTGGCTTTAAGACCAACTTAAAGATTTAGAAGAACTTTTAAGTGACATTTAATTTTTCCGTAAAGAACAGTAAATACAGCATTTCGTCCTGTGATGAAGAAAAAAGGAGATATCTGCCAAAGCTTTTCTGTTCGGACATTAAATTGATCATATGTAATAACTAAAGAATGTTACTGAAAAATTTCCTTGAGATGATTGGGCCTAGTATTCTTATTATAACTTAATAACTTTCAGTCATAAAAAACACCGCTATATTTAAGAATTATTCACCGAAGGCGAAGTTAATATTGTTGAATAATTCATCAGTCAATTCCACCTGCGCCCAGGCCCCCCCGGACTACTGCAGGGCATTTGCACGCCTTGTAATTCCCGGGGGTGGGGCATTTGTAAATTTTGCACTGCCCGGGGGCCGGGCATTCGCCAACCCCGGGGCCATTCCCGAGGTTTTCACACGCACGCGGTTTCCTATCAGAATATAACTACACAGAAGGTTTTACTGGAAAAAAAGCAGATTGGCTCATCTATCAAGGACAGGAATAAATTGAAGAGGGTTGTAAAGGCATTTTCTCGATTTTATGCACGCGCTTCTTCATTACATATCAAGCCAGAACTACATAGCGAAATTGGAGCTATCGATGTGAATCAACGTTTTTTGGTCATTGAATCAAATTTCTGTTCATATTATTTGAAGAACATCCTTTCACATTTATAAAACTATTCATAACATATAACTTTACAGCGCTCTATTAATTTTAAAGTCAATAATTTTATATCAGTACTAAAACTATACACTGGTGCATGTCGTCGCGGCCTGAAGTCTTAGTTAGAATCCTAGCGCTATTACAAAGGAAGACGTTAATTGAAACAAAAAGTCGCACATTAAAATGCTTAAAATGACACTATTCGACTGTGCGATCAATGAAAAATGTTGCAGCGTTGACGGAGGACGGGGCATTTGCCCTCTTTTTTCGTCTTCACCCCGGGGGATTTGACAGCTGAAGAGTCCCCACCCCCGGGAATTTGCCATCTAAGGCAAAAAAATTGCTAATGCCCGGGGGTCAGCCCGGGGGGTGCTGGGCGCAGGTGGAATTGACTGGTGCAATAATCGCCGAGACGAAGTCGACGGGATTATTCAACAATGTTAACTCAGCCTGAGGTGAATAATTGTTTTAGTATATTTACACGAAGTTATCTCAACAGATTCAGAAAGGAAACCATTAAAAAACGACTAGTTTGATTGACGGGTGAATTCATGCGTGAACACAAGACCGTAAACAGTGGATGCGCAAAAGTTAGATCTTTACAGTATCTTCAAACATGGCAAATGATAGTTTTAATCTTTTTGTATCGAGATTTGTAAGCTTTAGCATCAACGGTTTAAAAGAAAACGCCGAAAATTTATATTACTACCCAATTCTGAGAAGAAAAGTAGAGCTTTATTTGTTTCTGTCAACTCACCGTGAATGAGAAAGTTTTGTTTGTCGCTTCTTGCAAATGCTGTCAACAGCGGCTACGATCAAGGTGAGCGTTGTTTATCTCCAATGTTCTTTGCCTTGTTAACTTGCTGGCACGTACAATTTTCGAAAATATTTGCCTTCCTCTTTTCTCCATAAATTAACTTCTATTTGTAGGCAAAATTGGTCTTGCGAGAAAATCCCGAAATCACAAAAAAGTGACAAAGCGACCTCGTTTTCCTCTGTAGTGGTAAACATAGCTTCGAGCGTACAAAAAGTCAGCTGCAGTAAACCGCTTCGCAACAAATCACGCTGTTTAAACTCCTTGAAGTCTTTTCTTGCCTTGAAAGTCATCAGCACTTTGATATTCGTGTATTTTCAAAAAGGCTTTACTATGAAACTTTGGCAAAACACCCATTTCACGACAGCGATTTTGTTCTGCTTTATATTCACCGCCTAGCGCGGTGAATATAACGTCATAGTCCGAGATAGCTAACCAATCAGATTGCTTGAATTACCAAGATCACTGAGTGTGTATATACTAAACCCCAATATTAGGTAATTCGGGCTAAGGTCGCATTATTTAGTTTTTTTTTTTCTCGATGGGAGTCCTAAGCGCGTCGGACAATGCCAACATATTTTGAATATTTCACGTATCTAAATCAATAGAAGGAGCCAACTTATAGATATTGTAATCTGAGACAAACAGTTAAAGCAAAAAGGGCAGCACAAAGTTGTTTAGAAACCCCCAGAAATCACTGGTTACCAGTTCAAAGCGCTACTACTTCAGAGAGGCTAATTTGCCAACTCCTTTACTTTGTGAACATGGTAACAGAAAGTATGATAACGTTTCTGCTCATTGTTGCATCGATCGAAGCTCGGTATGTATATATCCTTTCTTTCATAAATTTTTAGATTGTGACTGTAGATGACTAGCAACTAGTCTTTTTTTGCAATTTTTCATGTCCTTTCATAATTTTATAACGATTTAACGAAAACACTGCGGAGTTCTGTAGGAGAACGAACAAAGGACAGTCAACTAATGTTCTCGCTAACCTTCTACTGGGTTGTCTCTTCTTTCAGTTTACTGGATATATTACAATGTCAAGTGTATTTGTTTCTGGTGCTTGCCTGCTCGATCTCAATTCGAACCATTTCTATGTAAACTACTAAAGCGGGTAATTAGATAACAAATATCAGTATAGTATTTTATATTAGTCCATTCGCCTTTCGGGATATTGAAGTAGAGGCAATTGCTGAAAGTGTTTGTTTCGAATTAACAGAATAACACTCATTATTTTTTTCTAGTCATTAACAAACCGTAAATCAGCTTACTAAAGGAAAGGAAAAGGTTTTTTTTTCAGTTTCCAAAAGCCGCTCATCATCATTCTCCCATAAATAGGTTGTTATTTTCACAACAACCGACATAAAAGATAAATACAAATTGTAAGCATTTACAAAGACAAAGATAGATGCAATAGAAAAAAATCTTTTTATTTTAAAATTTGTAAATCTTTTAGCGTAGTATTTTTAAAGCCAGATGCCAGTTATTGATCAGATAAAATCTATAGAATCTGAGTGTAGTTAAAGAAATAGCTTAGAATTACTCGAAAGTTTCACTCTTACATTGTCATCCTTATCTTTTTACCGGAAAAGTATTCGGACAATAACTAAATCGCAGAATCAGATCTTAGTGACAAAATGCAGTGAAAACACAACCTCTGAAAATCGAGATTTATATGGAAATTTCTAGGCAATACCGTAAAATTCCGAAAATAAGCCCCGGGGCTTATATGTTTCAAAGGCCCTTTTTGGGGGGCCTATTTTTGGAGGGGCTTATATTCGGAGGGGCTTATCTATGGAGGGAAATTTGCGCTTCAAAATCGATTGGGCTAGCCTTATAGTTAGAAGGAAATTGACCGTTTTTGCTTTATTTTACTTTGTATTTGAGAGCAGTTTCCAAGTATAAGTCCCCGAGGGGCTTATATTCGGAGGGGCGATTTAACGGAGGGTTTTTTGCGTTACGAATTTGGGGGGCTTATATTTGGAGGGGCTTATATATGGAGGGGCTTTCTTTCGGAATTTTGCGGTATTTGCTCAGTGGATATCACCGAATTTCAGATAAAAAACCACTAGGGGAGAAAGTGTCAAATACCAGTCCGGCCGACGAGAAAAGTACAGTGAGCCCCGCCCACGACACTCCCATTTATACGACCACCACTTTACTACAAGCACATTACTGGCCCCATATTAAAACACCCAGTCACCCTCTTTTTAGACTTTCAAAAAAGTTCCCAGTCCGATCTAATATGGCGCGGGACCTGAAGGTCACGTGACAAATGTGTGAGCAATCGGCTGACATACCAGTCGTTGGGACAGCGCGGTCCCATGGCTGACTGTGTCCCTTTAAGCGCGAGGGTATCTTAACACAGAATCTTTGGTCTTCATAGGTACCTTTTTTATCAGTTTGACGATAGTAGGGGAATTAAACATTTCCTGGCTGAATTAAATATTAAATTTGTCATCTTTTTCTTCCTTTTGTATTCACAAACGCAGACAAATTCAAGTTCGCCGAAACTTGGGTGACGTCTGTCAAAAAATGTGGAATGCAGCCGGTAATAACATGGTCGTGGGGACGGACATGACAGTGAACACATCATCTACAGCTACAAACTTGTTTACTGTAACTTCGACCGGCCAAACCAAACTCCAGCAGCCAGTATACACTAGCTTCAAGGGTAAAAGCTACAGTACTTCTCTTCTACTCTATGTAATTTTATTAACAGAGAATTAATCCCAAATCAAGTATTTACTACTCCTTGAATTAATTTGAGTTATTCTGTTAGCATCCTATCCGAGAATAGCTTAAGCTGAAGTAATAAAAAAAAAAACCAATAAGAAGCAAAAAAACAACACAGCAGCAGCGGCAACAATTGAAAAAATTAACAACAACAGAAAACAATTTTGCAAAAGGCTTAAGGTGCCTAAACAAGTGAAGGAGTTCTGAAGTTAAAATCAACGTGTCTTGAATGTAGGTTAGGTTTTATCAGTGAAGGTTACTTAGGGAACTTCCCGGTATCATGAAATCATTAGAATGAGTAACACTGGGTTCTTTTGAGCACACTCTTATATATGAGGTGGATAGCTTTCAAGTACAGCTGGCTTAATCTCAACTCCTCCATGCACTTACTCCATGAATTCTTTATACCGAAAACGTTGCACAAGAATCTCCGGTCCTTGCTTGACGATTGGCTGGAGAAAAATTTCTTGACGAGAATTGTTGTTCAGCGGCTCCCCTTCAGATGGGTTAACCGGAAATTCCGTTTGAAAAATTAAATACCAATACACCATCTATTTTCAGTAGGTCTAGCCTCTGGAAATATAAGGCAAGGCGATGCAACTTTTGCTTTCTACTCTTATTCGGGTTTCCATTTGATTTGTATATACTGCGTAGCAAGCTAGTCCTTCTCCCAGAAGGTCAAAAATTTAATTGTTAAACTACGTTTATGCACAAGATTTCCAACTGGATGAATATGTTGTATGATATACAGGGTGTCCCAAAAGTGCGTTCCTCTAAATTCATGCTCCATAACTTTTAATCAAAACTTCATTTTTACATGAAATTGCTAGAAGATGTTTATTTTTCTATTGACTACATGTATTCAGAATTTCAGTAACTGGCATGCCCTTTTTGATTTTTTTATCACATTCTGTAGCCGTTGCGGCACGAAGTGGGATACAGCATGTAGACCCACAGATGATCCATTTTGAGCTTTTTCATCACCTGGTGCGCAAGAGCTAGTTCAACCCCCCAACCAATACTTGTTTAGTTTAGGCAGCTGGAAAAAATAGATTTTTGGCATTCATCCAAAAAAGATAATATCCCGGCTTCCTTCCACAGCAAGGTTTTGTACTTCTCTACAACTTGAGACGAGCAGGGCGTTACTTGGCAGACTAAGCAGAGGTTTTTTTTATTTGCCATCTCAGGGGTCTCTAATTTTAAACAGCTTTTCGTGACCCTTTCTGGACTTGGCTTGCTAACTATGTGAGAGCTTTCTCGTCGAGTCTCCTTTTTTGTCTCTAGCTTTTCTTTAAAACTATTTAGCTGCTTTATTCAGGAGTTTTGGTCTTCCCCTTCATTTCTTGCCTTCAAAACCTTCATTCCTTCATGATCATTTTACCACCCAACATTCGGTATTTTTCCAGTTTCTTAGCAGTTTCTACGACAGATTAGCCAGTAAATCGAAATATACATGCTCATCTCCCTAAAATAGGTGAACCTTCTTGCGTTAAGGGGATTTATCTTTCGTGATATTTACAAAAAACAAGGAAGGAGTTCGAGCAATTCGGGCTATAAAATGTAAAAAAAATTTGTGGCTGGAAAATACACTCGCGCATGAACACCTTTGGCGCGGAATTACACAAATCGAATATTCGAATGAAAAAATAGCACAACACAAGTATGAAAATGGTGAATTAGACTGAAAGACAAATTTTTTTTCAATGATTTGCTTACCAAGTCCAATCGTACTGAAATACAGACTTATAAAGAAGAGGAACGAACTTTTGGGACACCCTGTATATATTAAGCAACGATTTTGTCCGCAAATATTCCGCTCAGGCTGGCTTTTCCCAGGTACTTCGAGAATCCCTTCTAAAATAGACAAATTGCTGACACCCATCTAGGACGTTAATTAAAATGTCGTGTTGTTTTAAGGTTCATGAACCACGACTAATCAATATTTTCTTGCCAGGAGAAGATACTTGGCTTGTTTTGCGCCGATAAATCGTATGCAATATGACGCTAAACTTTGTGCAGTAGACAGTTACCAACAAGTATGGCAACTTCTGTCGGAGGGGAAGCTTTGTTGGAGCTAACTTAGTTTTAAAATTCTGCTTAAGCCCTTCTAGATAACTACATTTCAGACGAGACAAAGCCAGAAATTCCTGCTTCTCAGAAGTCACAAGAGGAAGACAACTTTATCAACACTATCGCCGTCGAAGGAGGTCCCGTAGATATTGCTTTTAAATATCTAAAGACGAATGGAAAGACTACAGCAACAGTAAGATTTTTTTTGCGAAATTTTTTGTCAGACAGAAGCGTTGTGTGGAAGCCCTCCTCGAGTACCTTTCCGTATCACGCCAAGACTTGGCTTAAGTAACCTCTTCTTCCAACCTTTCTTGAATAGATTTTCACTGTGTACCAGTCCCCCTCAACCCCAGCCACCGCCTTGAAGCCGGTGAAGGCGCTACAGATTTGATTATTATTGATGCAGCATCTGAAATTGGCCACCGCAAGCAACAAAGTATTATATAAGCCTGAAACGTTAAAGAGCACGGCACGAACAAAGCAAGGATGGACAAAATAACCAAAATAAAAAAAAAAGAAATGTAAAACAGGTTGCAGAACTGTTTAGCCGTCCGTTAGACCCTGTTAGTACATATATTGTTAGTGCATAAATGTCTGTTATCTTAAACTTTGCCGGGGGGAATCACAGCATCCTTTTCTGTCTTGTACATGTGGTATTAGAAATAGTTTCTTGCTTAAGTTTAGCATGCTGGCCAGAAACTCAACGTAACAAAATTGATTCAACCGAAACTGTCCCGTCACAGCTGTTGAAGGCTGAACTAACATAATTTTCAGGTTGCTTGTCTTTAGACTACATGTTTCACTGATTTTAATTCTTGACTGTTAGTGGTGTCGTGTTTTCTTAAAACTCCAATAGGACCTAAACGCATTCAAGGCAGTATTGAAGATGATGTGGTTTGCTAAAAACGCTAAAGGAGAATTAAGAGTACGGGATTATTCTGGATTTAAGCATACATTTTTTGGTAAGCACATTGCCGAAGAAAGAATCGGTTTTAAGGCCACCGAAATGTAATCTTCCCCCTCTACATCCAGTCTCATAAACCACACAAAATCCTTTATGAATTTGTATAAACCCTGGGCATATATTAAAACCTAAATGTTTCGAACTTTTGACTGTAAACTTTTAGTCTTAATCATTGATTATACAAGCTCGATGTAGAATTCGTTATAGCCTGTGCTATCCTCTCGGTCAGTGCAGACAAGCGAAAAATAACGGGAAGAGAGAAGGGGAGAGCCTGCAAGCGTCTTCAAAAATACCACAGTCTGCCCACTTTCAGAAAAACCGTTTCTCGTATCAAAATGATAAATGTCAAAATGTCAAAATGTGCGTGTAGGAGGGTTTCGCACGCTCGCTAGCTATGCTCTTTCTTTGTCTCTGCGTGAGCGAAGCTAAGCGATTGATGCGGTTGACATAAACTGTCAAAACTGACCAACCACGGGGTATACTAGGCGCTGGTGGTATTCCGGAATGAGGTATTGAAAACAAAGCGAATAGAGACAAATACAAACTTTTAACCATTTTTGGTCTGTACCTTTTCCTAACGTCAAGTTTTGTGGAACTATTGTATGGCAAGTGAAGATAACAGGTTTTGGTCTAATTTCGCGCCAAATAGACTGCGCCCCAAGACGAAGTAATTATAAGAATACGTCAAGACGGTCTGCGAACCAGAAATTCGGCTATTTAACATTCGGATAGCCATGAACTCTTCATGGAAACGAGGTTGCTATTTTATATGTTCCTTCGAATAGGTTGGTTATAGGCCAATTGCACTAAGAGGTCACGTGACCAATGCTTCCTTTAAACGATGAGTTGGAATCTTGCTGATGCCAAAAATTTACAGAGCACATAAAAATTATCTTACACCCGAAATTTGAGAGGAGACGCATTTAAGGGAGATATTTTATGGCACTTTGATTTTTCAACAAAGTAGTATGATTTGTATTGGCCGCCATGCATGTTGGAGGGCATACTCTTGCCCTCCAACATGGCGGCCAAAACTACTTTTTGCTTATATCTTGTTAAACGTTTGATAGTTACTCTCAGATGTGCTGTAAACGCTACCACATTATCTTTTCAACATTTCCCTTGAACTTTAAGTGCAAAATTTTTTCAGAAAGAGGTAATTCACAGTTTTAAAATCACATTTTGGTCACGGGACCATCTACGAACTTACTCATTTTAAGGAAATGGTGCAGGCTTGAAAAACCAAATCACTATTATTTTGTTTAAGATATGACCCACTAATCGTTTTTTGAGGGCAAAATCATATAACTTTCATTTTCATAAAAACGATGTCACATGACCCCTTAGTGCAAATGGCCTATTGCCTTTTCAAATGTGGTAAGCGCCACGTGGTTGTGGAGAATTTAGCCGGGGGATTTGAGCCAGCCAGAAAAGGTGAAATGTTTTTGGGCTATAAGTCCTGTGTTACGTTCGGTTGGCCAGAGATCTTTTAAATTACATACACGCACAAAAAAAAGGAAATAAAAGAAAAGACCAACATAATCACGTTAACAAATCTAAAACTTTTACCAATTCGGTCTCAAGGGATAATTAAGTAATGCTTTGTTTAAAATCCTGGACTGCCACAATGTCTGTTACGTTAAATGAGGACTTTTTTGCACAAATTACTTCATCAGGTGTACTGGGCGTCAACAAAGAAGGGAAAACGGTAGTGAAAGGTCTTCACAACTGGTACCAGTTTCTTCTTGAACAGACCGCAGGTAGATTGGCTTACTCTCCACCCCAAAAGAATGTGGATACGACTAAAAAGGTAAGGGTTTAATCCAAAAAGATTATGATAGTATCCGAACATGGTCAATGGAGAGACGCTTCCCTAAAACATTCTATCCTTCACTAGAACTTAAAACTGTTTTCGGCGAGTCAATGTCTCTCTCGAGATCTCCCTCGCGTTACTGGGGCTCATGATCAGTCAGGGGAGTTTCCGGAAGAGACAATTCGCACATTCAGGATAGGTGAAACTTTCTCTGATTTGTAGAAGTAAAACAAGATACATTTTTGGCGTCAAATGGAAACTCGGAAAAAATACGAGCCCCAGATGGGATTTGAAACCACGACCCTCCGTATTCTAGTCAGATGCTCTAACCACAGAGCTACTGGAGACTCAATGGCGTGCAAGGGTGAAAGTGGGTCTTTGACTAGAACTGCATCACGCAGTCACATAGTCAAACCAGGACAAGCTCGTATGTCATGAATAACTGCATCACGCAGTCAAAGGTATATCATAGATGCAACCATCCAACCACCAAGTGAGTCTTTTTTTTTGTAGAAGAAGAATATGATATGATTTTTTAGCGGAGCTCTCGCGCGCAGCGGAGCACCATGGGTAAGAAAATTTGGTAATCTATGCATCCAAGAAATTTTGGTTCTGCGAAGAAAAAACAATACTTGTTATGAAAAAACAATAAAAGTTGTTCTAAATCAGCTTTGCAGTAGTCTTTGGACTTCTCGTTCTTGGTACGGAGTACGTCCGTACGTACGTCCACCCTTTCATGTCAGCGGAAGCAAAATGGCACACTTAATACTATCTGTGCAAAACTTGGTATTGGACATCTCTGTTGTAGACAGTCGACAGCTGTCAAAAAGGGGTATCCGATGACCAGTGTCACATGGTTGCATCGTGGGCTCAGGTATACAAGTCATGGAGGCGACCTAATTTTTGAAAGCTACCAGTTTTTCGTTTTCGATTGATCACTGGCTCAGGTCGATGAAAAAAAGATGAAATTCAGTTTGCTCGCTGCTTACGGTAAAAGATGGATTAACTGAGGAAGACATTTTTTAAAACACCCCTTGAGAGCTTCGCTTTTGGCCTTGGCTAAATCTATATATTACATCAAATAGAAACTCGGAAACTGAATCCGAGCCCCAGATGGGATTCGAACCCACGACCCTGCGTGCCCGTCAGATGCTCTAACGACTGAGCTACTGGAGACTCAATGGCGAGCAAGGGTGAAATGTGGGTCTTTGGCAAGAACTGCATCACGGGATCAGACCGGTGGCTTGTTACATTTTGCCTGATTTTGCCCCATATTAGGTAATCCGAATCCCGGAATCCGGGAAAATTTTACCTACGGATTCCGGAATCCTGGGCTTTGAAATCCAGAAATCAGTTGTAGAAATCCAGCTTCCTGCTAAGGATTGGAATTCAGAATCCAATTTTCAATGACAAGTGATCCAGAACCCACAATGGGGAGGCTAGAATCAAAGATAATCTTGGAAAAAATTCCTTCATGGTCTTTTACGGGGCGATATATTATATTATTACCGTAATTATTGTGCGCTTGTATTATCTTAAAGTGATATCACTGTTGTTTGTTTGCAGCCACCCTTTATAAACGTCCAGTTTACTTGGAATGGAGTTAGCAAGACACAGGGTAGCAGCTTTTACGTGGGCACAAGTCCTGCATTTGAAATGGCGCTTTACACAGCATGCTTCTTTGGTGAGCCAGGTTACTGCACCTGCAATGTGGACAGAAATCAGCTTAAGATAAAGACCTTCAACTTTCACAATGCTGGAATGGTGCTCACCTCTTATCCTGTAGCATAAGTCCTTCAGAATGAGTTATTATTACCGTGATGTAGAACAAAGAGAAATTTGGTTCATTTACGTAATATCCCGTATGTAAGCAAACTAAAGGAAGAAGCAATAAAGTGCAGCTAAACTTAACCAAACTCTGCTTACATTTTTTTGTTGAGTATTCCCTTTTTGTTTCCCGTTTTTAGTTTCCGGATTTTTTCTTCTAAGAGATAGATAAATATGGACTTTTCAAACTGAAAGCACATCTACTTCAAGGGGTAGAAAAAGGCCGTTTGAAGGAGCAATTGCACAGTAATATTCCTAACGCGTTTTGTGTAAACTACGCTCTTGAATTCTCTGATTATAAACACTTGCTATGACATAATGGAGAATGGCCATTGAACATCATAGAACTGAAAGAAAAAATAACAGTTTATTCTTCAAGACCTGTTAATCAGAAAACCGTAATAAACTTGTGGTGGATTTTTCCATATAATCCGGTCAAACATAAACGTTTGCAAGCTCCAACACAGTTCGTACCCGGCCGGGTCAGACACCCTTGTTTTTTTTTAAGGGCAGCTTATGATAATTCCTATCAATCAATATTATTAACATTCCATTTCATACGAATTTGCATCGCTAACAGACACTGGCAGGTTGAGAAGTATTATTTAATCCTTTCTGATGACACTGCTTGTGAGGCGTATCCGCTCTGTGGAACCGGAAGTAAACTTGCTGGGTCACCCATCTCTTCCGGCTTTTTATCACCCTCTGCCTCAGACCACTCTTCGCCTGACCGAGATGCATGGAGAGTCCCAGCATAACAACTCAATATCCTGGGTTAATCCAGAACACGCATAATAAAACGTTTTTAAGCTGAGTAATTTTGACCTGATATAAAATATCGCAAAATATTCCAAGTGCCCGCAAGTTTTTGCCGCCCTGTCAGCGTCCATTCGCAAGAGACAAATGTTTTATGCATTTTCACCGCTGTTTATCCTTCGCGTGTTGAGCGAGCCGCTTGAATCTGCATTCGCATCTCGTTTTTTTTTTCGCCCATTTTACGTGCAAAAACATGCTATTAACTCGTCTTCGAAGAGCAACTCCTTTTGTGGTGACTGGTTTGGTAGGATCGGCAGCACTGTATGGATATAAAGCAAGATTCTTGGAACAAGGTAGAAAGCGGGAGCTTCTTTATTTTGGCATGTTTTGTATGTCTCGGAGTTAACATATTTTCCCCTCAGTATTAAATCCATAGATGCCAAAAGAGCCCAAAAGATGCCAACATTACCACATTTTTGCTTAAAAGTGAGCCATACTACTATCGCGATACAATTTAAGTGCTTTTAATTTGCATGTAATAATATTGAATCGAATTATCCACGCGTGCAGAAACAAGATTAGGGGCAAATGTAAGCTCTTAAGTTTTACTCTTCTTCTGAAATTCAGTAGTAAAAAGTTTCATTTTTTAGGCCTCAATTATTAGAGACAAAATTTATGAATTGTGGATCAGAGATTGAAGACTTGTTGTCGAGGCCGTCAAATAGTCTTCCGTGACCTACCGGCAGCGGTTAGCTAACACCTTGTTTACATGGACCGGGCTGTCACGCGCGACCTTTTGTTTTTGTTCCACGGCCCTCTGGATCACTTCCACAACTTAAGACATACCGCTCATCAACAGGATCGAATAAAGCACGCTATTCGAGGTAACTAAGAAGTAGTCATTTTCTTTCTAAGCGGCATTTGGAACGGCCACTGTAAGTTGACGGACCCGTGACCACTGTTTCACTGGCCTCGTGCTCGCGTGCTTTTTCAGAACTGCCTGACTCAAAGCTTGCTAATCGATGCTAAGTGTATCTCGACCTACATCGACCTATCCTTTGGCCTATAATCTGTATTCTGTCGTAATTGTGTTTAGGTTTTGTGTTTTCATTTTGCTTCTATCGGCCACCGTGCCTTCCCCGATCAGGTTAAATTTACATATTCGACGTCGACCTGTTCGAAGTTAACAAAATAATCGAGTCCTCTTTTCAGGTCTTTTCAGAAACATGGAGTGATAGTAAATTATCCTCTTCTAGTTCGTCAAATTCCAGTCAATTTGATTTTTCTTAGACACTTTTAAAGAACTTACCCAAATCATTTAAAATTGACATGTTGATTCTGGGTCAAGATGACATGAAGAGCCAAATGATAATCAAAATAAATATAATTGAATTACCTTCCCCATCGATAAACCTGACAATAACAAAACGCTACTCTAAGTCAGATTTGCATCTAATGTTCATGGATATTTTATAATTAAAGAAATTTTAATTTTAATATCAATAATACAACCATAACTACATAGGTTAAATGAATCGTGTAATCACCACTACCGAACTCGATGTTGATCGCTGTGAGATTAAGGAACTCTCATTGGCTCCTGTTACGCTACAATTGGGGTTTTTACCATAAAGCATCAAAATGGCTATTTTTCAGTTGGAAAAATAACAGGAAGATAAACTAAATCGATTTCTACAACCATAATCTCCGCGACGTGGACTGTTGACCTTTCAAGTGAAACTAGTTACTTTTGAAATATTAATACAACATTCTCAGGTATAATGAGTGCTATTATGGGTTGGGCCTTAAGCTTTTAAGCACCCATCCGTACTAGGCCCGAATTGTTGAGTAATTTTGCAAAGTTTTTAATTGGTAAAAGCATGATTACCTACCTAGCTTTTATTTAATTTGTGAGTAGCACACGTTTTAATTGCATATGCGTAATCTAGTGCAAATGAGCACAAACAGTCAGTTTCCTCATTAGCATCAAAATCGGCGCATGTGGAGTTCGACGTTAAAAACGAGCCTTAATACAACAGTCACACTGTCTAACTGCATGTCTAACCAAGTGCAGTGAGAAAAGCAGAAGAAAACCCCATTGTTTGGGTTCTTTAAGGTGTGCTTTTCGGATAATAAGAACTACGTTCGACGGTGGACGTTAAGTAAACGGTTTAATAATGGTTGGTTGGCACCCTTGTTTATTACATTGTTTTTATTCCCATAGTTTCGTTACACGAAGGAATTCGTCATATACTGGAATGTATTTTATCAGGGTTTCAGACGATTGTGATATTCCGGACCGTCTCTATCGCCTCGATCACATTTTTTTAAAAGCGTCCCATATACACGAAACAAGGTGTCGATATCGCATTAGAGCCAAAATCATCACATTTATAGGGCATTCCCGACGTCTAAAACTTTCACTTTCAAAGCAAGACTAAGTGCAAAACCTTTCTTGTTATATGAGAATTTAAAAAATCATTTCCAAATCAAAAGCTTCGCACTTAGCCTCGCTTTGAAACCGAGGCATTTGGGCACCCTTGCCGTGAGAAAGAGGGTCTCCCCCGGCGTTGCGTGACAGATAGAGAGGGGCCAGAACTGGACAAGGAAATGGCCTGTTAATGTGATGGTTCGAGGACTGGGTAAGCCAGGTTTACCTGTTTTGTGTCATCGTATCTATCTCAAGCCCATCGCCGAAGATTATTATTATAAAGGCACTTATAGTCACTAGTCACGGCTCTCCCACATGATTATGACTCTTTCCTCTTCCTGTAAGGGAATCGATCCGGTTCCCGGAATGTATCGAATCTTAGCTTCTGGAATACGGAATCCGGGAACTTCCGGAGTACATCTCAAGGAATCTGCAATCCGGTTAACCATAAAAACCGGAATCCAAGTTTTACTTTACAAATTACCGTCGTAATCCAGTACCTGAAATCTGGATTCCATGGCACGGAATCCAGAATCCAAGACTGTCTTGGATTCCCTTATATGGGGCGACTCTTTCATACGTTTTACATTTCAGCTGTTCACGCTAAAGATAAATCTCTGAAAGATTTCAAGGAGACTCGTGTAGTTGTTGTTGGAGGTGGTTATGGAGGGATAGCAGCAGCTAAAAAGCTAAAGGACAACTGCAAGCTGACACTGATCGACGCCAGAGATGCGTTTCACCACAACATGGGCGCACAGAGGTCATCAGTTGAAGCAGGTGCATTAAGGGTTTTTAGTATGATCTAGTATGGTTATAGACTTGGTTCACAATAGTGACCTTAGGTTACTCTGAAAGTGCGAGTACGATCGTTAAGTTAAATTTGTGAGCCTCAGATGCTGACTTGACTTACTACTTTTATCCCTTAAGTCTCCTTTCTGTACTGGTCAGCAACAGGAAAAAGTAAGAGTTCTTACGGTCAAAAGCGTGGCGAATCTATGTAGAGAGGGTTGGAAAGGGGGGTTGTTCGACATACCCTAAATACATACATCAAAATAGAATGTTATTAGCCTCCTAGATGTTTTGATTGTCCTTTTTGTTGATGGTGATCAAAGAGTACTGGCCTCCGTGCATGTTTTTCCAATTGGCACATACAGTTGAACCTCCGCTCCGTGTCCATGCACAACGGCCACCTTAGGGACAGAATAACTTGTCCGTGTGGAGAGGTTTAAGCAAGAGTCAATATACAGCTATTTCTAGAAAGGTTGTCGGAAAAAACTGTGCACGCGACAATCCCGAAAGGTAATATGGGATATGCTTAATACACTGTTCCTGATACTGTAGCTGTCGAACCTACTTTTATTGCTTTCGTTTAGCACTCGCAAACATACGTCCATGGCCTCTCTTGCCATTGTTTGCAATTTCTTTGAAAAACAGTGAACTAAAAACCACCCACAATACCTTTCGGGATTGTCGCGTGCACTTTTTCCGACAACCTTTCTCGAAATAGCTGTATATTTGCATTATTTGTCCGCCGGGCATAAAAAGCGGCCCTTAGAGAGAGGTGGCCGTTGTGGAGAGGTGGCCGTTAGTGGAGATTCTAATGTATTAGGGGATTATAGCATGATCGCTAGAGAGATGATACTCTTGACTATTCTCTCTTGCATCGCTATAATTTCGAAAACTATACAAAATAAAAGACATTGATGGTAATCGTTGGTAACATTCCTTTATGCCTCAGAAAGCTTAAGATTTAAGATCAGTTTTGTCCAAAACAGCCTAAATATAATAGTAATCTGTTCGAAAAGATGCAGCACGAGCAAAATTTTGCCGTGTGAATTTGTTCAGTCTTGTATAGCTGTCCTCTAGGACCTGCGACCTTAATTTTAGGGGCAGGGTCTGATATTATAAAAAAAACTGCAATCCTTGCCCTTATGATTATTAAGTTGAATCTACTCGTGTCGTTTATACTCTGTGTTACCCTGCGCACTACACAGCATAGGGTTGTTTTCGCGCGTGGCGGCGGGATATATCGGGTTTGGCCGCAGGCACCAAAGTTAGCTCTGTGTAATAATGTCTTGTTAAAACATGTCTCCCTTTGTTCTTATAACAGGATTTGCTAAGAAATGTTTAATTGACTACGAGCCAACATTTGGTGATTCTTTTAAACGTGGAAAGGTGGTCAACGTTAATCCTGTCGCAAAGACGGTGACACTACACAATGGCGAGAAACTTGAGTATGATGAGCTTGTTCTGGCGACCGGCACCGGTGGTCCTTTCCCTGCCAAGCTGCCACTGGACATTGACAAAACCAAGGCTATTGAACGGTACGATGGGCTAGCTGGACTGGTAAGTATTGTCAGAAAACAACACTATTGCGTACAACTCGACACACCTATGAGGGTAAAACATTCTGGTCGGCAAGAGTTTTTAAGAGCCATTTGAACATTGAGAATCTCAAGACAATCGTCAAAGAAAATGTTCTTGTAAGCTTATCCAATAAAAGTTGTTTTGGGTTGGAGTGATCGCTTACTAAAAAAAAAAAAAAAAAAAAAGACGGCCTTGCCCTACGTTGCAGACGTCGAAATAGGTCGGGGATCGGAAGGAAGGGGGGAAATAAGGGTAAAAAGGGCGCTTCCTCCCGCCTGTCACGCATTCGAACGCGGGCGATACGGTCGAGACATTAGATGATAGCGTTTTTGAATGCTGTGATATCATATGAGGCAGCTTTACCGATCAATAGTGGCTCCGCGATTAGCTAATCAGTAGTTGCGCGTTAGTGATTTCTAGGCAGGCAGATATAATAACTCGACTCTAACCATGTTGACTAGTAAGCGATTCATAAAACTAGCCCGGAAGAACTAATGATTCAGGAATCAGGAGACTTGAGCAGATACCGGATAATTGAAAACTGTGTGTGATCACCCAGGAGGGAATCGAAAAACTGGCCACCATAAACGGAGGATGAATTTAGTCGGTTTAAAAAAGATTGCATATCACCTAATTTATAGACCATTTTACAGTTGAGGGTTTAGTACCCTAGCCTTCGACGGAGGCCCCGTCCACGCTAATGTGTTTTCGTTGGAAAACGCATACATTTCGATACTTTTAGGCCTTCCCGGTCCACACTAATACGCTGAGCGTTTTCACTGAAACTCGTCGATTTGAAACGCTCTTGAAAGTGGATCAAAACGAAAACGCATACATATCGTGTTAGTGTGGCCGATCGATAATGCGTCAAAATGAAAATGGTGACCGAAAAAGTCGCAGGTGTGTGTTTTTGTAGCATGCGTATAGAGTTCTACTTACGTCACAACGAGCAATTCTATCGTTTCAGAACATTTTGGTGTAGACAGTCGCAAATGCATCAAAACGGTAGTGTGGACGCGACTCGATCGATGCGTTTTCAATGACTAAAACGCATACTTTTGAAAACCAATTTGCGTGCGGGCAGAGCCTGCATGAATGTGACGTTGACCTTGATACTAACACCTTTGTTTTGTTATGGGAATACTATAGTAAGCATAAGAACAGCATTATTTACATAAGAAAGCAAGAAGGATTGTATCAAAACAAAGTCAACTCCAGCCTCGTTTCCTTTTGTTACTGTAAATGGCCTATTCTGTTGCTGTACATTTATTTTTTCTGATCTTGCTAATATAATTTTCTAGAAGGTTTTATGTCATGGTCATTTTGTCATCAGGATTCTGGCTGCGTTCAACTAAGAGACGAGCCAGCGTTTTGTTTTCTCAACTGTTTGTAATTTCTGTGACACAGAAAACACTTCCTCGTGCAAAAAAGTAACGATAAAATGCGTTTATAATACTCACCTCATTCGCCATTTGCACATCTTCTGGGTATTACAGTCGTCCCAAGAGAAAATGAAAACAATGCTTATACAAAATTTTGAGGGGCAAACAAGGTGCATTTTGGGGGATGTGCAAGTGGCGAATGCGTTGAGATAGTCGAATGCTAATTTAAAAACGACGAAAATACCTATTGGCATAAAATATTATTAATATAGAAAGATTATACTAACTTGCACTTCGGTGAAACGTTCTTAAAAATTTGAAGACAAAATCGACCGAAGTTGTCGAACATCATTAAGCCTAAAATCAATAGAAGCCCGTTGGCGCGGATGAACGCTCATTTTGAAAAAGAGATACGAATTCAGTAACGACAAAAACATCAAAGCAACTATGCAACACGACTGCCAAGTATAGAAAAAATCACAGAAAGCTAGACACTTACCAGTTTGCAATCCTTTGAAGCACTGACTGCCCATCACAGTCACGTTGCATGGGCGGAAGACTAAATATGGTCAACTCACCCCAAGCAACTTCTTTTCTCTTGTACGGTTTTTTATACCGTCCGTAGAACATTTTCCTGCAGGATAGCGGAAGGCAAATATTCTAACAAGACAAATAAACTGTGAAATTTTTTCACTTTCACGTGAATTTTTCATGATTTTATTAACATAACTATAATCACCGTTTTTTTTGTATTTTCGTTGTAGCTGCTGCTTTTAAGGCAATGCATCAGCAAATAGGGGCAGAAATGCAATGCTCTGGGGACATGATGATTTTGCGACATATATTCAAACACTAACAGTTCGTCTTTTATGACGTTTAGAAAATCCTAGCTTTGCGCGTCCGCTTTTAAACATAACATTGCTTCAAACCCTTCAAATTATCGACAGTTTTTATTTTACCTTCTCCAAGAAGCTGGTAGAATAAAAGAGGAAAATTGTTGAAGCTGTTCCAAGCCTCTTACCCTTGCTTATTTCATCCTTTCTTTTTTTTAAGGAGTGTCTATGGGCCTGTTTACATGGAGGTGGGGAACCCCAGATAGATGAGGTAACATGTGGCGGGTCACCCCACTTATCATGTAAACGTGATGCAATTAAAATGAGAGATTATATGGACAGGCGGGTTACCTCACCTACCTGGGGTCTCCCACCTCCATGTAAACAGGCCCTATGTGTCCCTTCGTCAGTTAATATCATTGCGATTGATGTCGCTAATTGTGATAGCAACACGACATCTTCCAAATTTGGTCCGTGATAGCTGCTTGCAAGAACAATTTGCCTGGGCATTAAAGTCAATCAGAAACGAAGAAATATTTTGAAAAAATAAAAAAAACTTGGTGAAAGATCTCATGTTGGCTGACAAGGGAATACATTGTTTTTTTCAGATTAAAGATGCGATGAAAATAGGCGTGGTTGGTGGAGGAGCAGTCGGCGTGGAGATAGCGGGTGACATTTTAGAAGACTATAAGGACAAAGCGGATGTTTATTTGATACACCCAAGAGAGACCTTGGTCAACGATAAGGTCAACGATTCTTTTCAGTCAGCAGTCAAAAACAAACTGACCAGCTTAGGGGTCAATATGGTACTCGGTGAGTAATGCTGTGGTACGGCTACACCAGCTTAAGGAAAAAGTCGCATCAGGAGTATGGCAATGTATTCAGTAAAGGCCCATCTTTCCTAGTCGGGTCGCCAAGCAGAACGCAGTATTCGATTCATATTACACGCTCACAGAAGGAGCCATTATATAGTAATGAGCAAATATTGGATTCGGCTTTTGTATGATCTGAAGAATTACGATCTGAAAGTTCAGGTGATGACGGGATACGTGTGAAATGTACCGCCATTTTGTGCTGCTCTTCCAAAACAAGCAACCTTGTTCCCAGGGCTTCTCGGTTGCCGTTCATTTTTCTGGCATTTATGCCGTACTATCGACGTTATTTTCCACATATCGCGAAGGTCTTTCAAATTTGGTCATCCCTACCTAGTTATAAAGAATTATATAGCCGAGGGATTTGAGTCAATCAGAAACGAAATATATTTTGAAATGAATAATAAACCACGTGTTCAGCGGACTCATTGTTTTCCTCGTTTGTTTGGAAGGTGAGCGAGTGATAAACATGAAGGAAGTAGAAGAACAGGGATATCGCAATGTGACTCTCATCACAGATAAAGGAACCAAAATGAAAGTAGACCTAGCCATACCCTGTACTGGCCTCAAAACTCACAGTGTTGCTTACAAGGACAGTCTCGGTAGGTACATTAGCTAACATGCAGAAGGAACCCTAAAAATATTCACGTCTCTGCGTAATGACGCGTATATATACCAACCATGAGACTTTCGTGTAGGTTCTATCGAATCACACTCAGTAAAGGGGCACTGGTAAACAGTGAACAAAGTACAATTAAGTTCAATTAACACGCACTATTATTCTCCGGCCCCTACTGTTCTTCATACATTATGGTGCTGCTTAAGAGAATTTGTTCAAACATCAAGACATGAACAACTTTGGTCATCATTTCATTCATTCTCATGACCTGTCAGTTATTGATCAGGCAGTGGAGGTATTGTGGGGAGAAATTTGATGCTGGTCACTATTGGTGCTCAAAGGGTTCATAAACTCATTTTGACTGCACATTATGACATACTACAATTGGAGCCCTGTTTCAATTGGTAGCAAGAGAGTCTCCTCATACTTCTAATTAATGTTCAACTCCGCTCAGCATTGTCTGTCTTCATTTTTTCTTTACTGATTTTATGATCATATGTCCACTTTGGGCAATAGGAAAGTCATTTAAGGAGTGATTAATGTTTTTGACCGGCCCGGTGGGAACCTCGCTAATTTAGCCTCTTATCAAGCAGGCGGAAAGGCGAATGTCGTTTCAAATTAAGGCTACACTTGTGTGTATTTTACAGGAGAGAAGGATATACCACCTGTAGACATGCCTTGGAGAAACACACTGATATTTAAGTCAATATTGTTTTGCTTTCAGGGGATAAAATGGACAAGGCAGGTCGTCTCACGGTTGATGAATTCCTCCAAGTAAAAGGCGTTCCAGACGTGTATGCTGTCGGTGACTGTAACGATTTACCTGAAATCAAGTTGGCATATGGCGCTGAAGTTCAAGGAAAATACGTGGCTGATTTGTTAAAGAATAAACACGAGGGTCATACAGCGAAACCTTATAATGTTAACAGTAAGTTATTATGCGCTATTCATTTTTCTGTGTATTTATCAGAAAATGATTGAAAACTGTAGTGGAATACAAATAAATGAGTCAAGCGGGAGGAAAATAAGTACAAATAAATACGCCAGCGTTGAAGCAATCGGATATTGCCTATACTCCTAGAAAAATTTTAGCTCGTTTCAGCTAGTGCTAAGATGCGCATTTACGGGCGAGTGCCCCAAGGGGCGTTTTACACCGGTGGTTATTGGGATTCGGGCGTGTAGCCGTCATATACGTACCAACAGCCAGCACAGGGGCCTAAGTATGTCTGACAGGGGCTTTTGTAGTGCACAAGGACAGTGAATTGATCACAGAATTTTAATGGGTGCCGAACCTAAGGAAGATACTTAATGCAAGCTTAGGTATGGTGGTGCAGCTGAGGCCTTCAATCCATGCAGACAATGTGGCAGCAGGACTATTGATTCAGTAAATTCGTCCCTCTTTCAACACTTTGTCACGTTAATTACCAGCGCAGGGTCTTGACCTCTGGTCATGGCTTTAAAACGAAACGCACCGATCACCTGTAAAGTCTCCATAGCAAATAACATCGCGGCTTAACTGACAGACGACCTAATTGACCTATTAGGTCAACAATCAGAGCTAAATACCATCAGCTGACATGATACAAGTCGAAACATTATCAACAATATACATGTCCCATTCAGGACTACACTCATCTTATAAGTATCAGAAATATTGGTTATTGTTTCTTTTTTAACACATTTTTTCTCTTCTTGTTTCAGCGAGTGTTTTCATGGTTCTGTGCTGCGGACGAACCGGTGGTGTCGCTCAAGTGTGGAGGGGATGGGTCTTTGGAGACTGGTTCGCTGGAAGGATTAAGGGCAAGAGCGTCTTTACCCCCATGCAGTGGAAAAACATGAATCAAAAGATGCCCGAAGATTGAAGATCACGGCAAACCATATTCATTGCGCAAAGATTCTATAGTTCTTTCCCTCCTTCTCTCTTTAGGTTAATATTAACATTGCAGCTCAAGAACGCATACCCTGGTCTTAAACGTTTTCTTTGAAAATTTTCTCTGCGTGAGAGAGAGTCCGGGAGGGGCGTGGAGAGAGGGAAGGGTTTTTTTCTCTCTTCGCCACTCGCGGCTCGCTCTCTCTAAAGCGGAGAAAAATTTCAAGGAACTGAACCTCTTGGACAATCGCCAGTGCAAGGGTATTTTCATACAACGTTTACGAAATCACAGCACTTTTGTTCTATAAGATGTATAGATAGCTGGTCTTGTGATTGTAGCATAGAAATCAGTGCAGTCGTAATAAACGTTTCTTTGCCGAAACTGTTGTCCCTTCTTTCAGTGGATTCATTTACAAATTAATTTTTATCATCTGGAAACATCTTTTATCAATAGAGATGGAGGCAGTTTACTCCAATTGATATCGTTGAACTATATATTTCCTCATGTCCAAACGGTCCAGCGAATGCTGGATACTGATTGGGCACCAAAAAATGCTTAGTATTAATACACGACGGCTATGTCACGCTATACTTGTCCGGTTTGTTCATCAAGGTTGTGCGTGCAAGGGAAACTTTCATTTTCTATTTTCCATCGAGAAGCGAGGAAACTACCGATGACGCGGGAAAATGATATTTACGAAGGAATATGACTTGAACACTTGTTGCAAGCTCAAGCTTGTATTTTTGGAAAAGCGTCATTAAAATACCCTCACACACGTTTCCATGCTTTAGTTTTCGAGTAGAGAGTATTTTGAAACAACAATAAAAAACAAACAAACAAACAAACAAACAAAAACACGCTGCAGCAAGCAATTTCATATCATTTTGAATTCATTACTCAAGTCTGTCATTCGTATGTACCGAAATGAATTAGTTTGTAACAATAGTGTTTTATTGCCTATGGCATTAACAAATAACGTTCGACGACCTCATTTAGAAAGCTTTGTTTCAATATTCATTTATTCATATATCATATACTCTGAGATAATTTATTCACATTTTAACTCTTGATAAACTGCGTAAACGCGCAATAATATTATATTTGCCTCACATGAGGGACTCCAAGACAGCCTTCTTGGATTCAGGTGCTGGATTCCAGTCTTTGTCACTGGAACTTGGATTTTGGATTTCAATCGTTAGTGGGATTTCGAATTCCTTGAGCTGTATTCCGGATTCCAAAGTCCAGGATTCAAGATTCCACAAGCAAATTTTTTTCGGATTCCGGATTCCAAAACCAAAACTTTCCCGAGTTCCGGAATCCCTTAAATAGAGCGAATTTTGTTTTATCTCGCTTTATCTTGATGTGCACTTCTGTTTGGAACAAAAAGGGGATGAACCACTGCTTGCTTCTCGCGGGATTTTGGCTTTGTTTCGTCTCCAGTTTTTGCTTTTTTCATTCTTTGTGCTCTTTTCTGAATTAGGCTAGAGCTGCTGTTACTGATACTGGATATACTGCTGCTGCTGCTGCTGTTGCTAGTGATGCTCCTTCTTCGTTGAGTTTTTATTCCATCCCTTTCCTTGGACTTCATCACTGCATGCAGGTTATGTTTTTTCTTGATTTCTTGAAGAATTTTTCTGAATTAACAAAATAAGACGATTTCGAAATATGACGTTTGGTCAACATAAGGACATGTGCATTAGTCCTCTGTTTTCCCGTATGTATATATAGCGAATCTACTTTTAGATTTAACACCAAGATGGTCGCCAGTAGCGGTAGGTGCTCGATTTTAACTACCTTACGGAAAAAAGGGGACCGTGAACAGACTATTGGAAATGGAGTGTTTTATCAATTGCCAAGAGCTTGGGAACAGTGGTTCAAAAGTTAAGGTCAGATTTAAGTGAGGGAGGTAACATATTTTAGTGAGAAATAAGGTAAGGGTTGTGGCAGCATCTGCCGCCAACAATCCCATGAGGAGAACAAACAGACAAAAAAATAAAAAGATTAAGTACACAAAACAAACAAACAAACAAACAAAAAACCCTTTTTTGGCCCATAGTGTCTTACCTAGTGCTTCTATGACTTAGATGTTCCGTTTCCTTTAATCCCTGCCAAAAAAACATAGGACGGTTACGTCGGGAAAATAATTAATGCTTCAAAATGTAAAAAAGTCTGACCTATCTTATCTTGACACCAGAGTTAACAAAGAGCCATACATTTATTGTTTTCTCACCTTTGAAATATCAGATACGGGGAATTCTGCACTTTTCACCTTTCATCATCTTAAGGTTTAGTAGTTAGTATTAATCACATTGTTATCTGATTACTTTAGGATAAACATAATTGAAAACATACAATTATAATTAACAGTTATCAAAGCCAGGTTTATCAGTTGATTATTGGTTGTTATATATGTTGGGTTATAAAAAGTAGTAACGTTAACAATTAAACTTGTTATCTATAAATGGTTAGAATTCGCACAGGTAAGTCCGTTAACAGTGAGTTTAGTAAACAAACAATGACACCTCTCTGATTAGAATGATGATTATTCTGAGCGTTAAGAGAGTTAGTTTTTCCTTTGAATCTGATGGTCTCTTGGAGCCTCAGACGTCCTTCATCTGTTCCTTAAACTGATCCACTTCTCTAGTCCGCATTGGAAATTCAAACGGACGGGTACTTTCATCGCCAGCGTGTACAGTACTGCATGAAGTCTCCTTCGACCTTGCAAGAATTTGCTAAAATGATGGACAGCGGCTTTGCTGGTAAGTTACCAGGTTAGCGTAATAGAAAACGGGAATCAAATACCGACGAGTGATTTGACAGAAAAAGGATGAGGTAAAATGGTATCAAAATCTAGTCATATGAAGCGTCTATCGTAATCTGGTTGCCTGATTTAAATATTGGCAGATCTGGACTTGCTTTAGATTATTCCCATCATGATGATCGATAGGGGAGACAAGTCCCAATGAAATCTAACACAAGTTCGTTACTGATTGGCTTAATAGCTGTTCAATTACTGGTGATTTGCTAATGTATATAATTATATACATAAAACACTTGCTTCTTTCTTTTTCTTCAAACAACTCTTGTGAAGAAAAATGTCACGTTTTACTTACTGGGGAAATAATCGGACATTTACGCTTATTAATGAACCACTGCAGTGGAGTATTTGCGTGGGGTGAAAGCACCATAGTACTTGGAAAAAAAACTTGTGATTTTAGTGCAGCAGAGACACTAAAATCGTCCTTTCGGAAGTACATTATAGACGGGTTTTATAGTTGAAGGGTTTTCTATACCATGTTAACCATTATAGTTTGTGTGAAATGGTTGAGGATGACGTTAACTTCAGTATAGAAAACGACCCTTGTTTTTAAAATTTATGATTGTCCGCTTGGATTCTAGTGATTCTTGATATTAAGTCTTGCGATAAATTATATTCCTTTAAATGATAAGCTCATTTTATTTTTCTTTTAGAATTAAAATTTAATCTTGTTTCTGTTATTTACATTGAAGCAATTCATGTAATTATAACAATAGATCACTAATCTGAAATAATATATAATTTTTCAACTAAATCTTTTGTTTTTAAAACATTAATTTATATCAGGTTAGTCAAAAAGGAGAAGTAAATACAACTGAGTGCCTTATAATATAATAAAAGCACGATTGGGGAAGTTTCAGAGATGAATTACTAAATGCAGGATTACCTTCCCGTCCTTCTAAAGTATGTTAATATTTTTGAATGAGGAACAAGTTCATGTTTCTGTTGTAAAATGTGCCGTGATGATTTCCCACGTTCTTGTGACACGCGTGCACGTGCATCCCATAATGCCTCACCCATCGCCATAGACCATTACCGAGTTGCCCCCAGCCTCTGTATCAAAGCGAGGCTCTGTGCAAAGTAATTTATATGAAAGTGATTTCGTATTCTCATTGAAATAAAACTAATTTTCACAAGAAACGTTTTGCAGTTAGCCTCGTTTTGAGTGAGAGTTTTTGGAACTCGGACCTTTAGGCTTGTCTCGAATAAAGGCATAGAATGACGTTGTTTAGCCCAAGCACAGCGCACGAATAACCTTCAGCATTCTATATGCATTCTGAACATCATGAACAACAACAGATACAACAAAAGCAAAATGTACATGGAACAGTGTTCCTTCAAAATATCGAAACTCTACCTAGCATCTCAAATGAGTGACCATTAATTTTACAACATAATTTGGGAAAACAATTTGCGTTATTTTCTACGGTTTTTCCGCTACTTGCTACTTCCAGATACCTGAAGAATTTTAAAGCGAACACATGATCTAAATATCAGCGCACAATAAATCAGCTGGCCGTCACTGTTCCTTCGGACTAAACCTCTGATTCTCTTTGTTTTTACCTACGGGTATTTTTACGAGCCAATTCGGCAGTGGTCTTGGCGTTTAGTTATTCGACTGTCTTTCCTATTCAGTTTCACGGAAATTGACGTGCTGTAAGATGAGGAATAAAAAGCCAAGCACAGAAAAAATCACTACAACAAACGATCAGTAACAAAGATACCCCTCGATACTGTCAACCACATCTAAACACAACAAATCGACGGACGCTACATGTAGCGGATAAAATTTCTCACCAAGAGGCTATGGAAATTCCCCTACACCCCAACTTTTCGAGGCTATTTAACCACAGGTATCTGGACAGAGTTTGGCTACACTAACACGGATCGTTAAACAAAAGAATAAAACTTATTTGCTACTACGTTCTTACGTTACTCCTTGCGCGAGCTAAAGCTCGTGACACCAGAAGTTGAGCCTCTAACTCGGCGTGTTCTCTAGCTGCCACATCAAATCGCGATGGCTCCTTACGTGATGTAAGTGTTTTTAGTGGTATCTTTTTCTGCGGTCTTGCGTACAGACGTTCAGATACCGATACTGCGTCTGTTTCACCCTGAGCATTTACTCTACTGTCCTGTTCGAAGCGGTCAACATTTGCTTGCGCGCGTGACAGAATCACGCGAGCTCCATCAAAAGAGCTGGGTGGTTGCTCTTTTGGAATCTCCGGATCTACCATATAACGAGGGGATGTTCCAATGCTTGGCTGGGGAGCAGTAGCGACTGTAGGACGATTAGCCAACATGTAACGAGAGCCCTGTGAATGAAGTGAATGAAAACTTGCGTTATGATATTATTAAATTATGAGGACCCATTTTACTTCTTGAATACGAAATGCAAGATACTTAAACAGATACACCTTTTCTGCCTGCCGAGATAAAACTTTAGTGCCTATATCAAAGGTAATCTTGATTTTCCAGATGCGATAATGGCATAACTGTTCTACCCAGTAGCCTAGCCGTTGAGGCGGTAAGAGGCCAGGTTATCTAGCCGTATCTACGGTGCGGATAACTTAGCCAAAGCCGTACACGAAAACAGTGTCTCTTAAACTCTCTAGCTGCTGAATTACCGAAAGCGCGTCAATACTCTATCGTTTTTTTGACACCTTTCTACTCACCGGGACGGACGATGGCGGCACACCTCGAGTAGGAATCGAGGAACCTCCAGGCGGTACAACATATCTCGCAATTGGCTCCGTCTTAGCAGAGGTAGGTCTAGATAATCTGGCAGGTCTGGCGACACCCGGATGTTGTGAGGCGGAAGTAGGTCGGCCTCTCGTACCAGGTGGTCTTCCAATATAGCCACGCGCATACCGCGTTGGAATTAACACTCCTGATTTATGTTCCCGAGGAGACACAAAGCGAGTTTGTGGTAGAGAAGCCGGTGCTATTATAGGTTCTTCGTAAATGTGGTCATCCTCGTAAACTGGCGGTCCACTGAAAGCCTGTATCGGCACGATGGGAACGCCATCGCCTATAAATTGGTCTTCGTTATCGTAGTGAACAGCATAGGGATCTAAATCTGCGAAGAAAATGGATTTATCGAATTAGTTAAAAAGGTCAGTTCTTTACTGTGAAAATATTAAATTTGATTAAAACAAAAGCTTTGTGCTTCATTACTTCATATAAATTGTTTCACAAATTTTTATTAATACCGGTTTGAATATAAAAGAGATTTTGAACTTATAAAGCCTCCGTTACCGTTAATCAAATATTTAAGAAAGAGGAAAAAAGCAGTTGTTACCAGAAACAGCTTCCCACAAAATGCAAGGCAAAAACTTTAGAGGACGTTGTTTATTTATTACAGATTCACTCCACAAAATTGCAAACTGTTAATACTGAATAAATTTAAATTAATCGCTACTTTAAAGAAAAGTTGTAGAGAAGGAGACAACCAAAAGCGCTAATGCACCATAATAGGGATGCCCCCACTACTTGAGGTGTAAGAAAGGTATGTACAAATATAAAAATAGATATTCTGATTATCCTTAATGAAACTTAAAAACTTCGTTTAAAAAGTTGGAATACTTTTTGAGTCTCTAATGATTAGGTAAACCATTCCATTCATTAAAGTACTGTTAAAAAAGCTATATTTAAAACAATTTAAGTTCTACTAGAGTTTGGAGTAAGGTCCTGTGTGTCATTTTTCCTTCAGTTATAACCTGTGTTTCTGTTCTTACAAAATATGAGCTTATTTTTGTCCGCTCTGTGTTCACACCCGCGTAAACTGGATCCTCTTTAACTGAAAACTTTGTATGTTAACGGAACCATGCCGGACTCTACACCTTGTAGACTGTTTGTAGACCCACTATTTTCTATTCAGAGAACGCTACAACCAGTTGCAAAATTGTTGACGCTCTCCAACCTTTCTTACTGTAACAAGTCCGTTAGAAAAAAAACTTCGTAGCTCCTCAAAATTTTGAGCAAAAAAATTGCTAAATTTTGAGGGGGAGGCGGATCTCAGGCACAGGATCATAAGCAGGTCAGTTAACCTTGAAAACTGAAAACTAGGCCTTCGCTGAATAAGCCAACGTAATCGAGTGTTTTGCTTTGAAATTTTATATACCCATGTAAACATCCCTTACGCACCTTCCATATCCTCGTATGGGTGTTCATCAAGGATGTACTCAGAGTTGGGAGGTCTTACCAGATGGGTTGGCATTATGGGTAACACAGGATAACCAGTCTCTAACAACTGATGAACACGATCTTTTTGTTGAGAACGAGACGACACCTAAAGAGGGACGAGATTTGATTAAGCATGTACAGGAATTTCTTTTCAAATGCAAATTGAAGGTTCCCTATACAAAAAACTTACTGGTCGAAGCGATGGAACATCGTAGCCTTGGACATCATCCTGTACATAAGGTGGTTCTGTGGTTGTTTCCCGTTTTAAATATCGACTCTGCTGAAAACAGTCAAATCGTTTGTTTAAGGTAACGTAGTCAACGAGTAGAGAGTTACTTATTAACAAGTTGTTCCCCAGCTCGCGTACACAATCATTTCCCTTAGTAATTCACCAGAATCAACGAGTGGACAATCGGGTTTGCATCTGCCTCCTATTCCTTCTGGTTCGTTTGCTGTTTTTATTGTCTTTAGCATCAACCTTTAAAGGAATTTATTCTTACCTCATTGCGTGGTTTGACAGATACAAGGCGTACGCCTGGGGTTTCCTTAATTGTCCACGCTGTTTCTCGTTTTGTTTCGTGAGCAGCCTGTCCTGTTAACAGGGGAGGTGCCTAAGGAGAAGAAACATGAAACAATAAGTCGATTCCTGCCATTTACTGCCAGGTGATTCGTGATCACAGTTTTGGGATAAATAATAACAATAACAATATAATTTAAAATAGAATGAGATAAAACAAAATGCTGAATTTTATTGAGGTGTACGGAAATCTCAGCAAACGAAATGTACAGAAGAATTCTTTATGCAAGGTTTAGCCACAGGTTCCCTACATTGTCTGACCTCATGAATACACTCCTTCTCACTCTGAAAGTGTGAGGCTAAATCCTGTAAGCCGAATTGACCACTGCTGAAAATACCATAACAAACCGTAATGCTCTTTGTTTGTCACCCTAAAATTTTGCATACGCCTTGTTTTCAGTTTGTCTTGGGCCATTTTAACTCCCAAGAGAAACTGAAGACAATGCTTACACAAAATTTTGGGGTGAAAAACAAGGCATTATGGTATGTTATGGTATTTTCTTTAGTGGTCAATCAGGGCCTGTTTACATGAAGGCGGGGGACCCCAGGTAGGTGAGGTAACCCGCTTAGGTGGGGTGAAAAAATGACCCTCCTTTACGCGCAATCTTTCAACCCTGCCATTCCGGGGTGCACTTTCTCAAGATTATCGAATAGACGCTAGGCACGTAAACAAGAAAAATGCTGGCAAACCACGTGTTTTGGCGATTAATGCTCTTCTACACTCACTCGCTGCTTTTGCTGCAGCCTTCAGTGCTGTGGGTTTCTATTGTTACCATTACTAATGACGCAAAGTCACCGCCAAAGTTAATTTGGCGCGAATTTGATGTATCACGAATCCGACCCCGGCTAGGCGGGTTACCCCACCTTGAAACGTTTACATGGCAGAATTTGACCCCGGCTGAGAGGGTAACCCGGTCTGGCAGACCCGGCTACCCGCCTCAGGCGGGTCACCCCACTATCATGTAAATGTGATCAAACTAAAATAAGAGATTATATGGAAAGGCGGGTTACTCCACCTAAGCGGGATAACTCACCTACCTGGGGTCCCCCACCTCCAAGTAAACAGGCCCTTAGTTTCTTGACCTCACATCATATCGGCAATACACGCCTAATCAAATCCAATAGCACGTACGTACGTCAAATTCTTATTGGGCACGCTGATGACGTCAACAAACTGAGACCTCGAGATATGTGAGCTATAGCAATCCTCCCAAATGCATCCATAACTCAATAATATACACGATGAAGAGTTTATTGATTCCTACTTCAGCTGTGTGTATGTCGAGATATGACGCACTTGGGAAGTCTGGAGAGCACTCGAGCAACTTTGGTGCTCTTCAAACGTCCCGCGTCATATCTCGACATATGCACGCTGACGCATGAAGCAATTAATTGTCTGTCAATTTCTTTAGTAAACGCAGCATTTAAAAAAGCTCATGGGTCCTAAAACCAAGGAAGTGTCTTTCAGTATCTATGTGCGTTTTATTTAAAACTACCTCACTGCAATATCATCAACAATAAAATTGAGATATACCTTTTCTTTCACTTTTTTCTCTTTTTCCTGCCGTTTCTTTTTCTTCGCTTTCCCTTCCTCTTTTGCGTGCTTGTGTTTCTCATCAGAGTCACTTTCGGAACTGCTGCTGCTACTGCTGCTACTGCTACCGGAACTCTTAGAACTTGAAGTTCCAACTCGGTTTTTGCGCCAGCGTTCTATTCTAGACCTTCTTTTTCGTCTGAAAAAAAAGCGAAACGAAAAAGAAACAAAAATCAGACAGTTGCACTAGTACGAATGAAACAACACCAGCGATAACTGGCCTTTGCTTTACCATTTTTTCTCACTCTCACCTAACTCGGAAGTTGAATGAGTGAAAAGGTGTTCTCAGGTATCGAAGTTGCGAGTACGTACCTCCGTAAAGAGCTAAGTCTTTCTATTTTCTTGTGTGGTTTCACGCGCATCGTCACAGAAGAGAGAGGCGTTTTCTTTTCTTAAGGGGAGGAGGGCTCTCCATACGGTATTGACCGATAATGGAGTCTTTCACGCTTGTTGGATGTGTGTCAAAAAAGGGTGAAGGAATAAAAAGCACAAGCCAAGAACAACTCAACTTGAAAATAGTTAACCGATGGAAATAAACAAAAAAGCAAGAAACAAACTTAAACCATCCCTCTTTATCACCCACAGCCATACATAAATGTTCTCATTTTAAATATCGCATTTTAAGCAGAAGACAAACTTACTCTGCTGTAAGGCTTCTTTGTAGGATAGCATTATAATCCTGCAAATAAAACAAACATTATAACCAGGTCAATCGCAGGTGTCTGCTGGTTTAAAAAACTAACGAAATTCCTTAACACAGAGAACATCGATCTAAATTCTCCAAAAATAAATTTTCATTTACCTCTACTGTATCCTTTTCCTTTTCTTTCTTTTCTTCTTTTTCGTACTTTTTAAGTTTTTTCTCCCTTTCTCTTTCCTTCTCTCGCATGTCCTGACGTAGCTTCTCCCGATGTCGCATCTTATTCCTCCAGCGTTCCACATTTGCCTGAAAATCAAGAAGTATTGATTCTCCTTTTTACATTCGTTAAGCAGTGACGGAAACGAAACTCTCCTCCTTGAATAAACGGTACAAGAGGTTACATCTGTTCAACAATTTTCAGTCATCTAAGCTGGAATCTTGTTGCTTGTACATTGTTTATTAATTTTTTCTTTATCGTTCTCTTCAATGAAATAAGCTAAAATATTCTATATTTTTATTTTAGGAAGCTGCGTTGAAGAACGCCAAAACTGGACGTATCGTTTATTTGTTAGAAGTATCATTGCACTTTGAACCTGAAAGTCTTTTTTTTTTTGCTCTTATCTGTTTCATATCATTAAACCTTTTACGCAGATATTTTAATTTGAAGGAGGCTGTTTTTCTGCTTGGAAACGCTGCGCGCTGTTGCTTATTGCTTGTTAGTCCAATGCAGCGGTGCGTTTGTGTAGATTAACCAGTCATGAATTCAGGGAGCGGTAACGTTGCGGACACATTAAAGCACTATACTTGTGCGCTAATTGCTTGGTTAATTTTACGAGTATGGTAAAAAAAATGTCTGTTACTTGCCAATTTATTTACCTTAAGATTAAGAATATCTTCGTCTTCATTTAGTTCAGCCTCTTGAGATGCTGCTACATTTTGCAGCGCAACCATTTTCATTTTAGACAGCCATGCCTGTTGATCGACAGATACCTTTACCATCATTTAAGTTCATCTTTGACTATCAACGACTCAGCTGAATGTTATCAGTTAGCAAAAAATGTTCCGGTGGATTATCAAATTTTAAATACAATCTTTTATCTTACATTCATTTACGTTTATGTTAGAAGAATTTTACTTTATTTCAGTTAGTTACTTCCGTGTTGTTAAAAAGGCAATTCACATTTTGATGACAAAATTAACTAAACTTTTTAACTTCATTCTTGTCAAATTTTTACATCAGTGTATCATTTTAATTAAATGAATACATATGTATATATGATAGAAATAGCACACTTCATATTCATTTATTTCGTTTTTAATGATAATGTGTTTATGTTAAGGGTTAAAATCTTGATATCGGTGCAGGTGTGTTGCATATACATCCTTGCATGGCAAGTTTTTCAGGAAGGTTATCAAAGAAATACTTTGAATTCCGTAACAGACACGAAACGCAAGTCACCCACAATAATCATATAGAAGGCTACTTTGATCATAAATACCGCTTAGAGGTCGAGCATAAAGGAGGCTGGAATATTCTGAGTGGCGGACAATTATGGATTAGTTTCAGCATTTCTGATTAGGCCTATGTGTACACTAGCTTGATTATTAAATGTCTAACACAAAAGTCACGATTTACCGGTGGCACACCCGACTCCGCAATGATTCGGTCGTATTCTTTGTTTTCTTTTGCGGCCACTGTATCTGGTATGGAAGGTGTGGGACCAACAAGTGGAGTCTGTATTAGCGGTGGTAATGGGGTGAAACGCAAAGGAGGCTCTTGGCGAGTTAGGCTGTTCGCCAACTTCTCGTCCCTCATCTGTGGACGGTTTTCCACAACACCTGCTAAGTGCTTCATCTTGGATTAACCAAATAAAATGAAAATGTTAGTGACAACAGACACAATAGACAGACTTCAAAAAAACCTTTTTTCGACCAGGAGGAGTGGAACTTAGTCGTCATATCTCGTTAAAACGCTTTTGTGAACAAACAAACAAAAAACAAAGATTAAAACAATACATGAAATAAATATAAATATAAGTGTATAAATGGTACACACATTTGATGCCAAAACAAAATATCGAGCAGTTACAAGAGCTATCACAAGAATATTCAATCCAGATAACAGTCTCTTAACAGAGAAGGATCTTTGGAACACGAATTATGGTATAATTGTAGGAATGATAAGGCCATAAGAAAGCAAGTCTCAGTTGAGGTAATTTCAGACCCAGGGCCCAGCTTTTAACACTTGTCTGTATCTTTCGTCGGTTAGGCATCTACTCTAAGGAAAGAGGCTAGAGTTAAACACTGCGATTTCCCAAAGATTTAATGTCGGCTGATTTTGAGGCATCGTTATAACAATACACTATAGATATGAATATATAAAAAATAACATATTTTAATGTACCTCAATATAATCTCCCGTGTCTTTGGGATTCTGAACATGATGTTCGTGCTTTACATGTCCATTAGTATATATAATATCTTTTGTGGAATGGCGATTGTTGTTGATTTTGTGGTCGATTCCTTTACCATTCGTCCTCCTTCTGTATCTCTGATTTGGCTTTTCTGGGCTGTCCGTTTTCCCAGGAGAGTAATCTGGGACAGGTAGCGTGGGGCATTTTGGAGGAATGTCACTACTACTTGTGCTAGAAATGCTGCCGAAAGAAACAAAGATAATTGTATTTTGGCATATGTTTCAAGGTTTGTCAGGAAAATGGTACTGATTTAATAGCGTGTCCGAGTAGTGCAAATGTGGTGTGCAAGCAGACAAATTATTTGAAGACAGAGGAAGGCGGACTTAAAAAGCGAACTGAAGGAAATCAAGCCATGGGTAACTATATTGTATCATAATGATAATGGATAATGATAATGATTAATGATGGTGATGATGATGATGATGATGATACAAAAAGTTAAATCAAACGAAACTAACCAGCAAACAATACAACAACAGGTTTTGTTTGAGGAACAGTTTTTTAGTAAGTGCCCTTAAAAATCTCATAAGCAGAGGGGACTTTGACCAAGTTATTCATTTTTTTTGGGGGGGGGGGGCAGTTTAAATCCCACTGGGATTCTTTGCAGCGAGAAGTCACAGTGTACAAAAACACCGCACTTAAGTAAGCATTAATCATAATGGGACAAGGAGAAAATCACCAGGCTTAAATCAATGTAAATGCCAAAATCTCTCACATTCAAGGTCCCAAAGTGATACTTGCGATTTTTGTACTAAGCGCCTGACCAACACCCACTGAGTTGGCTCAGTGCACAAGCAATCTTAAGTTTCCGAACAAAGCTTTCCAGACGTGCAAACGAACAAACCTTGGACGCTTTTTCTTCCCAGTTCCTAGCGGCGCTGGAGTAACTTCATCGGAAGGCAACACTTTAATCTCCAGATTTTTATATGTTGGTCCCTGTAGAAAAAAACATACACAAGCTTCCAATTCAATAATTGTAAAAAACAACGAAACTTATCACACCATTAATAACGGTTTTTACGATAAATCAAAACTTTTAACAGTGTTCTTATGATGTTGATCGGCCATTTGATGGCCTACAGTGCCATCACAGTACCCTGAAAAATCTCTGGCGACTATGACCTTCAAACAGCGCCTGAGTAAGCCGCTAATATATGAATCACTGTGAGGGAAATGGAAAAAAACAACCCTCGAATACCCTTTTTACTTTTTTAAAATTATAAAATTATAAGTTTCTAAGACAAACTATGAGTCCCATCTTATCTTTGAGGTATAAATAAGCGTTTCTCAATGCTGAATTACAAAGAATTCTTTAGAATCTTATCACTTCACTTTTTTCCACCAGGGAAACGACTTGACGAGTAAACTGAGCAAATTTCTTCTACCCACTTTCTCAATACCCAGCCGCTTACTTTGTGTTTAGGTCGCTTTTCTTTGCTTTGTTTTGACACCTCTGGCTTTGCTGAAATTCTTTATCAACTATAAAAATCTATCAAACCCTTTCACAACTATTGAAGGTCATTGAAGGTAAGGACAACACTCGAACGAAACTTTTGAGTTTTGTACCTTATCATGTGGTTTGACCTTTAGTCGTTCTCTCTTTCTCTTTGCAGCGCACTTCGCCCAGGTAAATGCAAGAATAAGAAACAATACCACCACAGTAGGGACAATAATAGCAGGAATCAATATATTCCACTTCGAGGAACTCACTCTGGGCGTGGGTGTGACCGTTATGTCTTTAACGACATAAGGACGTAACGTTACCTGAAATGAAAGAAAAACGGTACAGCATAAAATAATTATGTAACCAAGGTGTACAGAAACTATTTAGGTCACAGTATATCATAGTTTCTACATGTACATCTAGAGAAAGATCAGCCTTATCAACTGAGTAAGGAAGATCGGCCACCGAAAGGGGGGTTGAAAAGGGGGAGATCCCAACGGATGGGCATTGATGGCCCGTGTACAACCGCCCCCTCCCAATAGACAAAAGGGGAGAGGGCGGTTGATGTGTTGAAAAATATTTTAACCTTTTTCAGATATTCGCTTGTTATCCATGTCCATCGCCTTTATTATTTAGGTCCACCATTCATTCGTCATAGTTCACAGTTTTCTACTGCACTAAGGGTTCCTTGGAAGACCATTCTTATTTTCCACATAGCTGCCTTTATCCATATTAAATGAGGAAAAAAGGTTATAATAATAATTTCCTACGTAGTAATACAAAACTTTTAATTCAGATGTAATAAACGAACGTCGCCTTACCGCATATTTTAAAGTGGACACCATTTCACCCTCAGTCAGCCTGTTCATCGTTTCAACAACTGTCTCTGCAGATAACATGTTAGGCCCATCAAATATTCGATATTCTATATCCACAAGTTCATCTCCAACGATCGGCTTTGCTCGTCTTATAGCTTCAACCTGCAGTAATAAAAAGCAAGTACAGAAACAGTCCATCAACATAAAGTCAAAGCCAAAGATGTCAAAAATAGATAATCCAATGGCATGTTAATCGTTGAAAATATATCCAAAACTGAAAATAAAAACCTGGTCATGATCGCGACACACATGACTTTAATCCAGCATAGTTAAATATCGTGCCCCTGAGGCATCAAAAACGAGAAAAACAATCATAATTTAACCCTTGCACTCCTAAGGGGGGCCAATGTAAGAATTCAACAAAATTTTCAAATTTCATTTTGTAAAATGCCAAAAAAACAACTATTTCTATGTGAAAGTATTAGCCCCAGGGCTCGAAATCAACGGTAACCCGTTAACCAACGGTTAGTAATTTTCAACGTTTGGTTACTAAACATGTGTCCAACTAACCCGACATGGTTAATAAAAATTTTCTTAAATATTTAAATTATGTTATGGAAATGACCTTTTTACAAGTAAATGTTAATTTTTAAGAACGATTTTTGTGTTATTTTCTTGCATGAGATTGTTTTCTGTCTCAACAATTTGTTCTCGCCATCTTTGCGATCGAATCGAACTTTTCAGACCTTTTGAGCGCTAAGGCCCTGGAGACGAGTTTGTGTCGAATGTGGGGATCTGGACACCACAATATCGGATCCGCCATCTTCGCTTCGAAATTACTGTTTGCAAGGTTAACTGGCAGTTTGGCATTGAATTATGCAGATTTCTTTGGATAGATTTATTAGAAAAAGGCAGGCTCCAGCTGAAGGTAACTGTGGTGAAGAAGAAGAATGTCAAGAAAAGGAACCAAAGACAACAGAAGATATGGAAGACTCGAGCTCCCGGAAGCGTTACGAAGAAAAGAGGAAACAAGAGGGCCGATCATTTCGACAGGAGTGGAAATAAACATTTGCGTGGCTTCAGTTTGACGAGACTAAGGAATAATTAGAATACTCAATTTGTTGAATCACTCAACTCAAACTGTTGTTAGAGAATGTACTGCAGATGTACTGTTCTTCACTACCTAAATCATGCTGGTCTCTTCAAGGGAAATGAGAGGGAAATAAACTAGGCGCTTAATTGTCAAAGTTTTTTTAAGGTCACCATGCAATTTCGACTACTTTTTAATTTGTTCTAGTGGTTATTGACAAAATGTTCAATATTTGAGATTTCAAGATTGTCAAGATTTTTTAGTTGTGAGCTTGGATACCAAACTTTATAATTTGGTTAGTAAAAAATATGTCCACTAACCCGAAGGGTTAGTGATCCAAAAATTAAATTCGAGCCCTGAGCCGAGACTAAGAGGATTCAATTGAATGGTCATAATATACAAGACTATATTATTCACTGTGGTAGTAGAAGGATAAATAATTTAATGATTAAAAAACTACTGAAGAACCGCACTTCTTACCAGTGCAACTATGCTATCAATTTGCCGTCTGTAGCGTCGACTTTGCTTTTCATACACTTTGAACGCAACACTTCTTTTCCACGATTCGAAGCTTCTAACGTCCCAACCATCGAAAAACTCAAGGTCTCGTTTTTTGCGTCCAGTTCCTTTCTCCTGACCCCTTCTGTAAGCTGCGGCGAGTCGTAACTCAATGTTCTCGCGGAAAGTGGAATTCGTTTCATCCTCCGTCTTCGGGACAAGAATCTGTAAACCAACGAGACCTTCAGTGTTGTTAGCGCCAGCAGTTGGACGAAGAGGCTCAGTAGGGTCCACAGTTGCTGCGGCGGTTGATGAAGTCCTTGACACTAAATAGCTTTTTTCTAATGACGTTGCTGTTGTAACATCTTTAGTGATCCTGAGTGACACACTGATTGACGACAGTGGCACTGTTTTGGTAACGAAGCTGGCCTGGCTTGTTTCTCTAACGACAACACCAGATGTCCTTGTAATGGTAGTTTTTGAACCCCTTAAAGTAGTAACTGGGAGTTTGACGGTTGTCGTCGTAGAAGTAGGTCTCGCAGATGAAAGTAGTAATGGTAACGATGAAGATCTTGCATGCATGGGGTAGGATGATCGGTCTGAAGACGTCAACTGCTTAACACTTGTGACAGGTGATTCCTCTGAAGTTCTTAAAGTGACAGGCACTGAGCTTGAGTCAACCACAGAAGACGAGTCTATCGTAACCACTGACGTTAATGGTGAGGATAATGTGAACATACTACTTTTAGTTACGTCAACCGACCCTGTTCTAAGTTTACTACTTCTTGACAAACGTAAAGGCGTCGACGTCAACACGAGGGTGCTTTCGGCAAAAGTAGTGCCTTGGGGCGACAGCAGCACATCGGTCCCCAAGGTGACACTTTCAATACTTGAACTATTAACCTCTACTGAGGACACGGCAATGGCCGAAGAGGATACAGGAATGTCAGAAGGAGTAAAAGAGAGAACGATGGGACTGGTTTTCGGTGTGAATGTGTGAATGGAAGAGCCAGTTGCTACTGAATGGACTATGCCACCTGATTTTGCCGATGCTGTACCCACGAGTAAGCTTGAGGGAGAACTCTGCAGCGTGTTGGTAAATGTTCTTGCTATCTGAGACAATTCCGTGGAGAAAGCAGGTGAAATATTCCTGCTCGAAATTGCGTCTGTTACTGATGTTGTTGAACTTAAACTTGCACTTGACTTGTCCAAGACGTATGAAACATTACTTGTCGAAGGAATTGAAATTGGCGTTAGTACAGTAGAACCCAATGAATCGTAAAACACCGATACTCCGGAAACTGGAGGGATCTGAAGAGATTTGCTCGCAGGTAATGAAGTAATACCAACTATGTTTTCGGACGTTTTTGATCCAGAAACTTCTGGTGTTGGGAAATGACTTCTATTTAACGAAAAACTCGTTGCAAGACCGTCGCTAGATAACTGGGCAGGCGAAGAAGAACGAAGACTTGATGAAGGAGCAGTTGTCTGCATTAAACTGTGCATTGTGGCTCTAGTGGAAGCATGCTTTGCCAAAGTACTAGTTGTAGCAGTAACAAATGTTTTCTGAGCTGAATCTTTCCTCGAGGAGGAAGTACTTAGTTGTACAGACTGACTAGAAAGGCTCCTCTCAGAGACAAAATCTGTGACACGAGTTGTAGGATATTGAGTTGAAGAAAGGTTTGCAGTTGCTGCTTCTCGTGTGGTCACTTGTGTAACTTCTGCCGTGTATAAAGGAGAACTATTGTTTGAAACTGATAGGATTGACACCTTGGCAATTGAAGTTATTACGCCTGACGATGGGGTGAAAGGTGACCTTAAATCTGAAGACATCTGTAAAGCCACACTTGACAAGAGGGACTCACGTGGTGACGTCGAGACTGAAAAGGGCGTTTTCGAGACATTGACTCGACTAATGGGGACAGTAGTTTCATTAAAGAATGCGGACCTGGTACTGGCTTGAAAGGCGCTTAAGGTCAAGGCCGTGGGTAGTAAAGAACTAATGTCTAAAATTGGTAGGCTTGACACCTTGGCACTTGAAGTTGTAAAGTTGGCTTTCACCGTCCTGTTAGTAGCAAGGATTGAAGTATGTGTTGCCTTTGTCGTCATTGAACCTGAAAAACGTGTTTCACTTTCTAGTGATGTCCTCGCAGACAATTTATCGCTTACTACAGAGGAAGTTACACCTGATCTTGAAGAAAATTGCCCTGAAGTGGAGGCATCAAAGTGAACTGTGAACGAAGATGGGCTACTGCGTTTGCTCATCATGCTCAGAGAGGTCCCGTGGATGGTACCATTGCTCCAGATACTTGAAGGCATGTATAATAGACTTAAGCTAAGCCAAGACCCACTTCTTGAAGTTTGACTTGACGCTAGTACGAATGATTGCGACAAGAAGCGTGAAGAAGTAATTTCGCTTCGGTTTGCAAATAAGGTTGTATAATGACTCGTAGATACGCTTGACGAAGGATAAAAGGGTGATCTTGAAACTGAAGACACCGGTAAAGCCATACCTGACGACGAAGTCTCATGAGGTGACCTCGAAACTGAAAAGGGCGTTTTTGAGACACTGACACGAACAGTCCTACTGCGGAGAGAAGTTTCATTAAAAGATGTGGACCTAGTACTGATGATCGTCCTGGACATTCCAATCAATGTTAAAGTTGCGTTAGCGCTTGCTTCAAAACGGCTTAAAGTCAAGGTATTGCTAGGCGCAAGAGAAAGTCTTGAGTTACTAGTTGTGTAACTTCCGTAAAAGGCTGGTGACGAGCTTGACACAGCTATAGAAGAATCTGACAGTGTTGAATTTGTACTTGGTGTTGAAGCCAACGTACTGGACATTGCTGAAAACGGCAAAACTTCGCTCGAGGCAGTGATGGAACTAACATTAAAAATCGTTGAAATCGGACTAGCAGCGATGAATGAAGATGGCATTTGAACAGAACGAGCACTCGCAAAGGCACTACCCTTAGCTGGTGTTACCGATGAATTTAGAGTCAATACGCTCATTGTTTCAACAGTTCTGTGTGTTTTTGTCGAGGATGCCACAACTGACACACCGCTTCCGTTGAAAAAGCGAGACGACGCAATCAATGATATTGTTTCTCCTAAAATGTGGCTCGTTGGAAGCGGTTGTAAGGACTGCTTTGTTACTGCCGCACGTGTACTTTGCAAAGATGACGTCACTTTTGTCGTGGAAAAGGAACCTGGGATATGCAAAGTTTGAGTGACTGGCACTCCTTCTCTTGACGATGACATCACCCCAGCTGTCGAATTCTGAATAGGTACAGTTTCACTCTTCAGTATTGACGAGGGAAAAACCGTAAATGAAGTCATGCTTAACATTAAACTTGATGTAAAATAAGTTGTGAAACTCTTGAAGAAAGAAGACATCGCTGGCAGTGTGAATGTAGAGCTTTTAACAATTGAACCTGACGGCGTCGGTTCGATAATCGACGTTGCATGTCTACCAGAAGAGTCACCCAGGGTTGCAGTCAAGGTAGAATTGAGCGTCACTACAGGGCTAGGCATTTTCACTTCAGACGAAGAAACGTTTGTGTGTGAACGTGTAACATATATACTAAAAAATGATGACGGTAAAGCTGAAGTCGACGTTAACGATGACGGCGATGGTGAAGATGACGACACCTCAAGACGGCTGGTTATCACTTCACTTGACAATGAAGTTTGCAAAGAATTGATTGCTGACTCACTTGCAGAAAGTACTGTTGAACTTAGGAAGGACCTCAGTGCTGTTAAGCTTGAAGTAACTACATGAATACCACTCGATGGACGTATTCGCGATAAACGCGTTGTTACTATATTTACTGACGGCACTGCTGTGGAACTTTCCTTTGCTGATATATTCAAATGCTTTGATGACGTCAATGATTCGCTTTTTGTCGAAAGAGGTCTTGACTGTTGGGTTGATGTCAACGAACGAATTATGGACGGTAGCTGACTCTTACTAGGTAATGCTAAAGTTGTTAATAAAATTGTCGGCGTAGCTGAAAAGGCCGTGGTTAACGACAACGAAGTAATTTCAGTACCTCGTACAACCTGTAAAGATAGAAAAGATTCAACAATAAGCGTACATTATCTTCTCTAGTTTGTAGAGATTGTCGTCACAGGATCGCAAGAATTCATTACAATTTACCAATTAAAATAGCCAACTGGCAAGAAGCAAACCAGTTGGCTTTTTGCAAGCAGGTTCGGGGAGCTAAACTTAGGACTAACAAAATAGAAATCCAGATAATGTCCAGAGCGGTCCTCGAACCCGGACCTCCGTGTGAAGCTCCGGACACCACAAATGATTATTGAGTTGTGGGTAATTTTCTTGAATAAGATGTGAAATACAAACTGCTATTCAATGAGTAAAGTCAAGAAAGTACCATATTATAGAAGATGAATACATAAGCAACCTCCCTCGGCAAGTCTATGCCTGCACGAAATTCCAAACCTCGTTTATTCGTCGAACTGTCTCATTGGAATTTTTGGAGTTCAATATGCCGAACTGGAGAACCAAGTGATCTATCAATATGGTGGCTGAACGTAAGTGGTGAAAGAGACTGAAAATTTTCTAAACGACTTATTGTCTTTATCTTAACTTACCATCTTAAATGACGTAATATGCATTCACATATTTAAGCACATTTCCTATTATAATTTAACTACTCAAGTGGCTGAAAACTAGTAGAGTAGACGGTCTCACTAAGGATAAGGATATCGCTGATTCAATTTCCAGGAATGGCGTTGCTGTAAAACCTCCTGGTTGATATAAAACTATTTTCTGATAACAAACACTTACTATGGATCCTTCTGAATGACCAAACGAGATTATAGCAGAACTCGCCGAACTTCCACCGCTAAAGTGCGTCACGTTTACCGTTTTCAGTGCAGTAGACATTGACGAACGCGTAGCTGTAGTTACAAGACTCGTGAAATTAACTCCTGACTTGAGAGACCGATCCGAAGAAACAGACGTTAAATAGGATACTGTCGCCGGAGAAGTATTGCTTGGGAGGGACATTTGTGCCGAAGGTGTCGACGAGACACTTACAGATGACTCTGCAGCTGTTAACATCTGACTCGGTGGCAAAGATTCTGAAGTTGCCGTTTTATTCGCAACTGAGGAAAATGAAAACAAAAGCAGTAAAATAAATTGCATTATATTGCTTTCTACATTAGCAAGAATAAAAACAACAATAGTAAAATAAAAACTAAACTATTTAATGAAACTCAGTAAAGATGGATTGGGCAGCGATCACCCTACAACTACAGTCTCAGTCAAAATTGTTGGGACACTTTGCCGTCTTCTTGCTCTCTCAATGTTGGCGTACAAGATTTGGTAAGTTAACTTTGATAACCAACATTGGGAGGACGAGGAGATGGGTCAGAAGTGAAAAAGCAGCGTTGGGTGGAAGAGTCCCAGCCTATTTTTGTCTGAGACTGTAGCTGATGCCCGGCTGAGAGAGGAGTCTTTTTTCTGAGGAGGATTCACCGTGCTACAACTTTCAGCGTTCGTACAGATTTTTGGATCCAAAATTCAAGGCTTTTTCCGAAAACAATAATTTCTTTATCAAGACTCAAGGTTATCAAATAGGTGATCGATAACGACCTTAAAAAAGGCAGGATCAAAGATTCAGCGAGTCTTTCATGATGAGCTGCAAACATACGGTTGAGATGGAATAAGATTTGACCAAACGAAAAAAAACTTTACTTCTAAAGCACTTGTTGTACCTTTGAAAAAAAAAAAAGACTTTTTACCATTTTTGCAGACTTTATCTCCATTTTCCAGACTTTCTCAAGGTCTAGAAAACTGCTGGGCAAATCTCAAGACTTTTTCGAGAATTCAAGACTCTGCCGCACGAACCCTGAACTTTGATATGGCTATCGAGAATTATCACATAACAATGCTACCTCTTTTCTGCAATGCTATGCAGTAAAGCTCTTGCAAGGGTTTAACACAAACCAGAGTTGTACGTTACCTCTTGTTGTAGAAGATCTTGGCTGTAGCGTGTAGCTGTAGTAAGATGTTAACGTCCTTCTCGCATGGCTTGTTACGATTGTTCTTTGGACTGATGCAGAAACTGATGAATGCAACGACATTGTAGGAGAGGAAGATGGTAATGAAATGAACACGGCATGAAGACTCTCTACTACCTGTAAAAATGTTTTTAAAAATGTTACTGTATTAGTAAGTGGGTTTCGGTCTCTTGACTAGTATGACGACAACATAAGTGCCTGACAAAGTGGTACATCTGAGTCATTCTCACTTGCAGGTATACGACAAAAAAGTCTCGCCCCAAAAAAGGGAATCCAAGAAAGCCTTGACTTCTGGATTCCCCGCCGTGGATTCCGGATTCTTTGTCAGTAGAACTTGGTTTTCGGATTCCAATTGTTATTGCGATTCCGGATTTCTTGAGCTGTATCCCTAATTCCAAAGCCTAGGATTCCGGATTCCACAAGAAAAAATTTCCTTTTTGCGATTTCATAAGCGCAAAATTTCCCAGATTTTGGAATTGGGATTTTCCTTACATGGGAAAAGAAGTCAGTTGGCTTAAAACAAATGTCATGAAAACCCTGAGGCCTGAGGTAGCTGTGCTAATAAGATTGTTCTTTGGACTGACCTTGTATCCAACAAAGTACCCCAATGAGAAGTTAGCTTGCTCAATTGTTGTTATAACCAAGGTGGCATTAAGTGGTTCACTACCAATGAGCAGCTGAAAGGTTACGTTAACGTTGGAACTGTTTGAATCAGGTGACCGCTCAATCCTGTGAATCTAAATAAAAAAAATAAAATAAAAAAAGTTAAAACGACCGCAAATGTTACGCGTCCCTTTTTTCTTCTTCACTTCAGTTCCCAATGCTCCATCCATACTCAAACGAGCTCTGGTGCAGCGAATCAGGTTTTCCGTTATACACTCTTGTAACATTCTTCAGCTCCCCGGAATGACCCAATATGAGAAAAAAAGAGGAAAGGAACTTAAAAAGATAGGAAAAGCCCTTCCAAGTAATAACATGGCTTTGCATTCCTAATAACGTTGCTCCAGTGCCTTGCCTCCCCAAGTAACGCTTTGCTAAAACGTCTCTCGACTGATTCCATCCTACTCGATATTGTTTGGGGTCGGAGTAAAGTTACCAAACACTTTTGAACTCCACAGTGATATAAGGACAAAGGACAAATAAAGGATAAAAGAGAAGAATGGTTTCAGAAATACGGAACTGACTACTGTACCCCCAAATGTAGTTACCCACGAAAAACAACTTCATGCACACTTTAGCAGTTATTATATTTTTTGATAAGGAAACTTACGCTGATGTTAACATTCCCTGAAGACGAGTTAATTGAGCCATTTTGATAAGCAAGAAGAATTCCATCCTCCAAAGACTGTTTAAAGTCAGGATCGTTCACACTTTGATTTCGAGGAACGCTGATACCAAAGCGTACAAAAATTGCTACCGACGTAGAAAAAGCTGAGCTAGAAGTCGCATCGACTGCAGATACAAAGGTAGTAGTAACCAAAGGAAAAAGCTTTGATGAATGTGCCTGCAATGAAGATGTTGATGACCTATTTGCAAATGGTTCTGTTGCTGGTGTTCTAATAGAAGATAACAAAGTGGCGGGCACAGACAGACCACCATCACCAGACGTGTTAATTCGTGGGGTAGTCAAGGTGGAATAACTTGAGGAAACTGCAGAAACGTCACTGAAAGATGGACGACGCTGAGACAAAGGCGTCAGCGATGTTATTTTCGATGACAATGCTACTGTAGTTGTTTGAAATGGTGCAAAGGGACCTATACATGACGTAGGAACAGAACAGTTAGAATGCAACAAGTTACCTAATACTGCCGTGTACAGGGACTGGGTTAAATTTGTATCAAGTCATTTAAGCGTGTATCTGTCCAAGAACCTAAATTTTTGCCTCGAACTCTTAATTCTTATTTCCGGGAAAGTTGATACAACTGACAGAACAAGGGAAGGTCGATTGACAATTCTGCATAGTAACACCTGCCATTATCTCCACGTTCAAAACGTTTAACCAAAACAATGTTGTCAAGACTAGTTTAGATACACTTGTACATCTCTAATTTAGTGACTTTACTTTGAAAACGAGTCCTCAAAGACAGCTCGCGCATCTAATGTTTAAATTACTTTTAATTTAGTTTTATTACTTTTAACTTACTTGACTTGCTGTGTGAAGAGACTGGGAAACCTGATACGAATGTTTCTGTTTTTGTCACAATCGACCTATCAGCCGATTCATTGCGACCTGAAGAAGACAGAGTGTTGACATTACTGTCTCCTGACGAGGTAATGCGTGGTGTTGTAGTGATTAACGGTCTAGGGATTGAAGTCTTAAACTGGAGGAAACCTGTCCTTATGCTCAGGGATGGCGTAGCGTTCCTGGAAACTTGTAGCGATCTTAAGACACTGTGTTCTGTTGACATATCCACCCGATTGACTGACGAACTTGGTTCTATGACAAAAATACTGCTTTTCAACGACAACGACGTCGGATCTACGGAACGCCCTATTTCACTTTGATATGTAGACAAATTTTCCATAATTGTTACAATGGGGCTCATGGTGACATTTTGTGTTATGCTGCTTTGGTATAGCAAAAATGAAGTGACGTCTGTCGACAGACCGTTCCGACTCTGCTCTGTTGTTGCATTTGGTGTAACATTTAAAGAGCTTGAAGTTGAAAGTACTGTCATCGGAGGGCTACTATTGAACTCAAAAGACGGTGAAATAACTACCAAAGGACGAGTATTAGGCAAAAAATAGGACGTTCCAGTCGAGAGATGGGATGCACTGGACATTGATATGAAGTGCTCGACGTATGAAATGTTAGGAGATGTGGAAACAGTTGTTGCAACTAATACCATGAAGGTAGAATCAACATGTTTTGTTGTATTTAAGGCGTCCAAAGAGTATTTGATAGTTGAATTAGGATGTAACTTTGATTTACTGGTGGCGAGAGACGTTTGTAGCAAAAATGATCCTGTACTCGTCTGCACCTTTTGAGTAGATACTGTGGAAATCATTAAAGAGGACGTATTTGTATGAGAAAACCCTGCACTCGTAAATAACGTCGTAAGCATAGTACTTGTTTCAGTGACCCCGAGAGAAAATGAGGATGGAGACATATGGACGTTACTGGTCGTTAAGTTCTCTTGATGTACTTTCGACGAACCGTCTTTGTAAAAATAAAGAGTACTGAATGACGAAAAGTAAGCAACTGATAACGAACGAGAAGAATGTCTTGAGACAGATGTAGTATTGACTCCTTCACGTGAACTCTCGTAATTTGCCGATATCTCGAGGGAGACTTGTACCGACTTTTCTGATGATTGGCCTACAGAACCTGACCCCAAGGCATGCTCACTGTATGGTAAAGATGATATTAGAAATTCAGAACTCTTTAGAGTTGAAAGTGGCTCTAAAGAATTGGATTTGCTAACATCTGGTTTGGTTAATGATACGTATGAACTATTTACAGGTGTTTCTGTTATCCTTCGCGTTGTGGAAAAAGTTGGCATAAAAGTTGTCCGGTTGAACCGAAGTGAAGTACCCGCCAACGAATCACTAAAATTCACAAGAACTACTCGAGAGCTCACTGTGACTTCATTTTCGTGTAAAAAGGATCCTGATACAGATAGCGTTGCAACCGACGAGATATTATGTACGTGGTTAAAAGAGGAACCCGTAGAGGAAATGCTCACTGCAGCCACTGTCACCGGTGATGAAGAATTCGCAATAGTACTAGTATCTAGTAGAATAGAGGTGACAAATGGGGTGGGCACCATTGAAGCCCCTATAGGCGTTTTCATACTGCTCGCTCCAAGAGATGATTTATTGTTGAAAAACTCCCCAAATGAGGATAGTGTTGTCATGGATGTAATTTTACTGAATTGTCTTGTTACAGAGACATTTAGAGATGCTGGTAAATATCCTATGCGACTTGCTGATAGGTAAGACGACATGGATGATAGTGACGACGACGAAGGTGTTGTTACGGAATTTGACATCCGCAGACTTTGAGCGATTTTAGAGGCTGTCGATGAGGTTCCATTTGCAGCAGAAACTTGCGATGTTTTCAAGTGCATTATGTTGCTAGTGCTGGATTGAACGCTGAAATGTGCAGCCTGTGTGGTACTCTGCGTGTCACTGGAATATCCATTTACTTCTGAAGAAGTGCTTTCCTTCCTGCTAAGGCCACTTTCAGTGGAGGCAATACTTTGAAAACTGCTAGTTCGGGACGGATTTTTCGTTTCTGTAGAAGGCGTTTCAGTGTGTGGTTCCCCGAGTGAGCTGCTTGACATTTGCCCAGAACTTTTCATTGATAGACTACTCGACGTCGCATTATTTTGCAATCTGGACTGAGTTACACGTAAAGAGCTCGAAAAGTTTGTTTCTATTAAACTTGATGCATTTGAGCTGTACGATGGTGTTATGACGCTGCTACTGGACAATAAACTAGACTCGATGCTTTGGTTTGACAGCGACTCGCTGGTAAATAACGCCAAAGTAAGAGGTTCTGTAAATCCCGCAATTGAAAACGTCGAGGCACCGAGCAACGATCGCACACTTCTTGGTACGCTCGGCGTCTCAGTCGTCGTAACGAAGGACATTGCCAGTGTGATTGGTTCTGTTGAACCGGTGACGGGAAAGTTAGAAGACTGAAGTATGGTGAGAATGCCTGTCTTGTTTTGAAGTAAAGTGGGTGAGGATGTGTTGGTGCTATTGACTGAAAAAAGAAGGTTAAATTACATTATCGGTTAGTCCGCTTTCACGTTAAATTTATATTAGTATATAAATGTATTTTATCACTATTGCCAAGCTTAATTTACTGGTGATACCAAGATGTAGTGTACGCTCGATTACCGGTCGCTGTTTTGAGAACCGACGCCAATCAAGCTGAGGTGTACAGTGTTAGGTGAAAATTATAAGTTGAGAAATATTGTAAGGTCAGGATTCCTTTACGGTAACAAAGCACAATTGAAATGGCACACTGAAGAGATACCACTTTTACGAAATAGAAGGGAAAAAAAGGAAAGATTATATGGGCACCTTGCCGCTCACAATGCATGTTGTGCTGCAAGTTGAGAATGTTCGAGAATGTTTTATTAAAAATGTGTTATAACACGTACAAAGAACAAGCTTCACTTGCATGGCAACATTGCCACCCTAACCTGCGATCAGGCGCTTTTTGTTTTTCGCTTTATCTGATCACAGGTTATTGCCACCCCTTCAGTGGAGGTGTAGCATTATAGGGTACCATCAGTAGAAGATGAAAAACAAACTGGCCTCTTTAAGTCGCTATCAGAAAATGTATGCATTTTGACTCTCAGGCTGAAGCAACTTATGGGAGTGTTTCTTTTCCATTACCTTTTTTTTTCTTCTATCCTCCAGCCACCAGGATATTACTGAGTTATTACATTATTAGGGACCTTAAGCAAGCACGACGACGACGGCAGTGAAAACGTCGGTAAAAAATGAATTTGCGTTCTTTCAAACTTAATCGCGTCTATTTGGACCCGCTGAATATGTCAAATGCAGGCGACTTTTCCTGGAGTTGAATTCTTAAGGACTTTTTTCAGCTTCGAAAAGAGCAACAAAAATTCGTGGTCGTATGTCCACGTCCTCCATAAAACGTCAAATTAGGAGGTTTCACGTCGTGGTCGTGCAGTGGTCGTCAAAGACATGTACTAAAACGCGTGATGCACGTGCAGAACTGTTGTTTTGACGATTAAACCTATTGTCTTTTTGAAGTCGTCGTTGTGATCGTCGTCGTAGTTGCTTACGCTCCCATTACTAACTTATGGAATGAAAATTATCCAAAATCTAAGCTTAAAACAATGATTGAAACGGTCGGACGGCTGTAAACGTGTTAGTGTCAGTGCGATTATACAAGGTGCGGGTGCGAGAACGAATAGCATCAGGAAAAAAAATATTGCGAAGAATTATCGATGTGTCACACAAATAATTATAATTTTTACTTGGTTTTATGTTTTGTAACTTGGTATTAAGATCAATGGATATAGTAAATGCCAAGAGTATTGCACCATTTATTTTTAGCTGTTTATTTTCTGTTCTCAGATTTTTGGGGGGAATGTAATAAAAATACAATCCTCAAGAAATCTAGGGTATTAGGGTATCAATTGCTCAGAACAATTGCTCAGAACAAGCTTCAAGTTAATTAAGCATTTAAAAATACTGTTAATTGAAAGAGTTTGCATTTTGCATTTCGTCTCCGTGGTTTATGTTAAGAGGTTTAGCTGTGTCTAGATTAGGTTAAGTAGACGTTTATTCGCTCGTTTACACACTTGAACAAGTTGGACTTGTGATACAATGTATTGTAACTCGTCTCATTGAGTGTTCAACGTTGATTTGGTGCGCATCATCGACAATTGAGCCTTACACATGGGTCGCTTGAGTTACTTCATTTCGGTTCTAAGTTCCCGAATTAATGTGTTAAAGGTGGCATGCGGACATACACAAATGAAAATAATTTCTTCCTCACGCGACTGACATGCATGACTCATTTGCTGACTTTGCTTCATTTTACTCGTAATCTCCTTTAGCAGAACAATAATGTTTATAAAAACATCGACTGACAATTACCCGACTAAACAATCAGCATTGAGAACCAGACATTGGGGAATCTGACCTGTAGCTTGCAATGTATATCTGACGAAGTTTGGTTGGTTTCCCTTGTAACAGGGTGATTATTTCAGTAAAATTTACGTCGTTAGTCAGACCGCTTGGTTAGCTGTGATAAAAAGCGGGAATAAGCTAGTAACCGCTAGATCCTGGCGCTAAACTTCACATTATGTGATTTAATAAGTAGGAAAAATCAAAACAGTGAACTTCGGCGTGGAATTGATATATTCTGATAAACACAATCTAAAATGTAACAAAGCAAATCACTCGCAACGTAGAATTATTATTGAATCACACTTACCATTTTGAAAGGAAGCATTAACTTGAAGAGATTGACTTGAATACGCAGAACTAGCTGATGATATCTCGCTTGTTGAGACCACAAAAGTTGTTTTATCAGCACTAGACAAAGACGAAACATTGCTCTGGCCAGCAACCAAAGTGAAACCACAAACGAAAGCCCACAAGGTAAACAATCTAAACAGAATGGCGGTCAAATTTGAGATGCTGACGTTTCTGAAAGTTGATCTCGCTTTCTTTACATTCATTCGTGATCTGTTTCTAGTCGGTGTTTCGGACGTCGCTTCTGGTTGTTAACAAAGCGACGTTTCATTGGAATTGCCTATTTTTCACGGAAGAAATCTGCAAATTATCGAAGACCTCAGTAAATGCACCGTCGACTGCATTTTCAGCAAGGCCATAGAAACGCTCGAATGACCTTAGCAACAGCATGTGAGTATTCATTCATCAAATAATGCTAATCAATATTTGATAAGCATAAATTATGCCCTCGGGATAGACGGCCTATTGTGACATTTATTGTTGCAATTAACATGTCGTCAAAGGTTTTTCGACCTACGTAAAATGGTCTAATCATGCATATGTCTAGGAAAATTCTCTGAGGATTAAAACAGAGACTCGAGTCACGGGATACGCGATGGATGATGATTTGACACTTTTGAGCGTTGTTTACTTTGTAATGTCAAAAGCTTTTCAAACTCAAAGATACAGCCTGCGAGCTCTCGTTTCCATGACTTCCGTGAACAAAACAACTTATTCATAGTCTATTAATTCCAGCGACGTGTAGATATGATGGATTATTGAATTTTTCTAGATATTTCTAAGTATCAATATTAAAAGAAATTCAGAGATCTCCAACCGGCAGCGAAATTTATAATTCGATCATGAAACATGATCAGTCTGTAATTTGATCGCCACGGCGTTGACGACCTATGAGGCATAAATTAAGAAGGAAATTTTAAAAGTCCCACAAGCGCTTTCAGTCCGATGTCTATGTCGTGATTCTATTTGGTGCTCTATTTCAAATTTAGCCAGGCTTCAATTATATTTTCCTTTTTTTCCTTTGCATGGTATGGTTCATGTAAATACACCGCCATAGCGGCCTCTGGGTAATGTACGATTATATTTTCAGCTCTTCTGTGAACCAAATTATTTTAATCCATCTAAAGTAATCGAAAGCCGGATTATCTTATCACCTGTTGAACAACCAAGGATGCTGACTTAAAGGCATCAACGCCTGACCCCTCAATATAAACTGGACACACAATAAGTCAGCAGCCTAGGACCATTGTTGTTGTAATAATTGATCACAAATGTAAAGAAGCCCTCAAATGAAATAAAAATTGACCACAACTGTATTAAGAGCAATTGTCTGTAAGATTCGAACTATATTGAAAAGTCGCTGCCACGCTATCTCACCGAATTGGCTGAAAATTAGCATGTAAAGTTGGTTTTGGGTCTTAAATAAGAAATGAATATTTTTAGGTTCTAAATCTTCTTACTTTGAAAATTACCAACTTGACCGTTTTGGGGAACCTTCGGCCCCGCGCCATATTGGTTAAATCGAAGGAGGTTTTACGAATCCAACTACAAGCCTGTCTTTGAAGCAATTCTATCACTGATGAAATACATGTCAAAAACTATCCTTCCTTATTATAATTTTGAAGTTTACTCCGTACATAGCAGCGTTTTCGCTAAGACTGGCTCAACTTTCGGTCGTGCACACTTTTTGCATAATTTATGCTCTCAAAATTACTAACAATCCAAAGGCGTATATCTCCCTTGCCACACAGGATTGAAACTTGCTGCTTTGCCTAAATACTGACTGTTTGTAGCCAAATCGAATTCGTTAATAAAAAAATTGGGCAAATGCAACGCGACAGAAAGAAATTTATTAAATGGGCAGCAAGTTCTAGTCGCTTTGCTAATTAAATTACACACAAATGCTCACTGATGTTGCCAAAAATAGTGATAAATAAAAGAATTTCTGTCCAAATCTGAGTAAAAAGTAGATCAAAAATGGCCTCTTTAATGGCAATGACAGAATTGCTGTCACAAACACTGCAAAAAGGCGGATTTTATCAGCGGAATGGTAAACTAAAAATATAAATGTGTTGCTTGTGCATTTACGGGTACCGTCCCCACGTGGGAACTAAATCGTAATTTTCCCAAAACTAAAACTTTTGAAAGATATCACAAAGGAGAAAAATTGAAACAAAATATATAAAGATGTACAATTTCCTCATTCAGAGATATCTCAAAACGGCATTTTCTCTGCGAAACGTCGGTAGTCACGTTCAACTGAGTTTTGCATGGCGTTACAACTCCGGCTTTCGAGCAGCCGGAACAACAACACCTAACAACAACTGCTCGCAATTATCATGCTCAAATCAAAACCAGATAATTAGTTTTTGAAGATATTAAAGCTAAATAAAACCACTTGCCTTGTGGTGTGAGATGGGAATCAACTTTCCTTTAACTCTACACTTCCTTTCCTATATTCTTGACGCTCCCGCTCTAAGAAATGAGCATCACTATTTAGGGTCTGAAATGAACATCACTATTTCCGGTTTTCACACATTGGGCGTGGCAAAGGTACAATTCTTTTGATCGTTCAACCCAAATCGTGGCTCGAAGTTTCTTATGAAAATGTTAGGGTTTTCAGCAAGTCTCCAAGAAAAATTATTTGTAATCATTTTGGACATTTATACTTATTGAAAAATTGCATTACTTAACCTACAAAACCAACGAAAAGAGTCTCAGATTCTCTTGCGCCCCAAATTACTAATACGCCCCCCCACCCCTCCCAAGGACGACTCGGAGTAGGTCAACATCGATACATGAAATAGAAATTTTTAAAAAAGGCCTGAAGTCATGTAACATAATTTGTGATGCTTTACCTTTTATTTTTAATCTTTGCAACGACACCTTTGTTTCCCGCACGTTGTTACGCTCTCTTTACTTTTACTTCACACACCCCTCCCTACATATTTATGGATCAGGAAGCCTCACTGAGCTAGGTAGATACCAGAGGTACTGAAATCTCCTCAACCCTGTCATAATCAATCAGTTACGGGTCGTTCGACAAAATACATGTATCAATCGAGAAATCATAAACTACTTTTTTTTACTATGGATGGTAGCCTCATTCCTAACAAGTGGTTACCGCCATTACGTTCTAATTTTTCACCCTGAAATAGTCTGTTCCAGGCTTTCAGATTAGAGGGACGACACAGAAATGTAAGGACAAAAATCAGCCAAGGGCGCCCCTCTCACTGAACGCCTGGACCTTGTTACACACCTAAAGCTAAGGCTAGTTCACACTAGATACCTTTTGCGCCGACACGATAAAAATATGGATAGGAATTTTGCTCACGCATTAGAACAGTGATTTCAGCGCGATTTCTGTAACGGAGCGAAGCGCTTTGCTGCGCCAAATTATAAAGTGGAGTGTCACATATCGGATAGGTATTCATACTTTTCCAGATAGCTTTTCGTGTCAGCATGAAGAGATACTCGGTATAGTGTGAACATAAATAGCCTAAGAAAAGCACAGACAAGACAGCACGAACCGATTCTCGACAGGGCCTTCTCACCAGTCTCCCCTAAACTAACCTTTTTTTTTTTCGCTTTTTTCCTCGCGAGATAAAGGATTATTAAAAATGGATTCAAGGTAGCCTATGGGGGCTCTGGTTTAAAGTGCTGGTTTTCATTCATTCAAAAAATGAATCAGTAATCGTTCAGATTTCTGTGTTCAAAAAGTTAAAAATTTTTGAATAACTTTTCGAAGGGTTTTAATGTATGAAAATTGAGGGAGGGGGTGTTAAACATTTCAGGAAAATTGGAAAATACTGGATTTGAGGGTTGTTGAGATATGAAGTGAATAATAAGAAGACAAATGCCAGATAGCCCACCACTACAACAAGGTGCCTCTGAGCCTATTAGAGAACTAACTGGCAAATGTATATACCTCTATCACCCCCCACCCCCCCTCCCTCTCCAAAAAAAAAACAAAAAAACAGGAGTACTCCCTTAAGTCCAAGCTTATTGTAACCTCATTGTACAACTTACATGTAAAGGGACTGCTATGCTTTGACTTAATCACATTTGTGGAGATTTGATACAATTTGTCATTCAAGAGGACCAACACGAGCAATTCTTAACTAATTTGGTCAAAGCATCTACAAAAGGGGCTTTCTTCCGTTCCTCAGGAAGATTCAGCTCAAAAGCGCTACAGATTTCCTTCAGCTTCGGTAATGTGAGTTTCTTTAGTTTCCCTGAAGCTACAAGATCACACAAGTTGTGGACATCATACATGATTGGATGTCTGGGTTGCACTTGCTCTATTACATCTCTCCGAAAGTCTTCAAGTTCTTCTTCCACTTGGACAGCTTCCTGATTTTCTGGGTCATTTTCGGAAAATCTCCCACATCTTGCCCTTCTAGAGAAAAAACTTTGAATCTGGGTCGCGGTCAATACTTCTGAAGAAGAAAAAAGTCTCTCTCCGTTACCATCTTGGCGAGCAGTTTTCATTTCTCTGGCTACAGTTACAGGGTCCAACTTTCTTCCCGTCGTTTCGCCAACCATGAACTTTTCTTCTAGGAATTTTTTCTGTTTGTCACTGAAAGGTTTGTTTTTCGTGAACGATTTCAGTGCCCAGCCTTCTTCTTCGTTCTGGTGTAAACCGCTTGATGTTGCTTGATTGCAATGGACGTTTGCTGTAGCTGAAATACGACCATCACTGACCCAAAGCTTTTTACTGTACAAGACCTTTGCAGTGTCCATCACAGATTCTCTTTCTTCTCTGAAGTCGCATTTTCCGTAGGTAACATGATTGACCATAGATCCGTAACGGGTATAGACAAGAACGCACCCTTCGTTTGGACAAGAAAACAATCTCCCACAGGCGGTCCCCTCAGTCTCCTCTTCTTCTTCTTCACTGTCGACGTCGGCTAACGTCTCCTGCTGAACTTCGTGTTTCTTTTTTCGGGTTTTTATGGGGCGAAAGTCTCCATTTGAAAACGTGGCATTCGTCATTGAACTGATAGGATATTCCGTTCCTGAAGCATAAAATAGTTAATATCAAACAGTGCCCACTGCAATAAAAAAAGCCAAAAACCAATTTTCAAACGATTGAAGCAAAGTCTTTTTTGGGGGGGGAGGGGGTGGAGGAGAGTAACAGTAGGGGAGAGGGAGAGTTAGTGAGAGAGATAGATAGAGAGGATAAAAAGTACCTTCAAATTCTGACCAAGGGAAAAACTTTCCTTCGCCAACTTGATAAGCTCGCCATACCCTCACTCCATCACTGCTAAACTCAAAATTGTTCAGCTTGCTGATTCCTGGCCACTTTACATTGGTTTTACTAGAACTGTTGCCTTCTACCAGAGACACTCGGGCTCCAGACACTCCACCTCGTGAGGTAAGTGCAGAAAGAAACTGCTCTGCTGTAAGGACGTCGTTACCTTCGTTAACAAAAGAGCGTACATGGTTTTTCATTGTTGCTGCAAAACGGTAACAAGCGCCCTTTCCTCCCTGAGGATCGGAGAAGTCTAATTGTTGAATGAAGATTCCCGATCGCTGGCTGATGTCTTTACAGGCAAGGATGGTGTTGGCTGCATGGTAGCAGCCTGCATTGTCTTGGCGATAAAAGGCGCTTTTGATCTCAGGGTGTTCCCTCTTGAGAGTAGAAAGAACATGTTCCATTAACTGGACAACACAAGGGCTATCCTGGATACACTTCTCAACTACATGCACGAACGCCTGTGTTTCAAGTTCACTCTCTTTCTTTCTGATCGCTACAGTGATGTGCCAGGAGATCCCTTTTTTCGCAAACCATTCTCCTTGGGATTCTCGGTACTGACGAGGGAGAAATTTCATAGCCCAGTCTTGTACAAGAAGCACTTTGCTGTCATCGAGGCATTCAATGACGTCTATACGGGCATTATCCTGATTAACAAATCTGAGCTGGTGTGACTTCCAGAGCTGAATTGCTCGAGTTGCTTCTTGAAATCTGTGAAGAGCATCCTCCTTATCATACTGGCACTCGAAGCAGGATTCCTGAATTGACTTTTGGGTGTCGGACAGAACAGCTTTAAGGTCTTCACAGCGATTGCATATCAGGTCATGATCTTGAGTGCAGGTACCTCTAAAAGCAGGATCTTTACTGTCACTTAGTGCATATTGGCTACAGTGATCTGACACGCGCGAAGAGCTGGAAACGTGAACCTATTGTAGAAGCAAGATAGTCTCAGAGCAAGATTACGCGAGACCAGACTATTCTGGAGAATATACATAAAATATGACAGAGACACTAAATAATGACGAAAATGTTATTTTTGACAGCGCATCATTTGACAGATCGGATTGGCAAATAATTCGCCATAAAAAAAAAAAAAAAAACTTTTCCCCACTGTATCACTCCCACTCGTCATTATAAACAGTGTGCTTTAAAGTACACTCTTCTTCAAATCAGGAGCGCCGAAAGACATGGTAGATTGTGTAGGTAGAAAAATATCCATACCCTCACCGAGGGCACTTTTGTTTTAGACCCCCACCCCCTGGAATCTCTATTTCAGGGGGTGTTTGTCATACTCCCTCCTCTTAAACCAATGAACTTCAATTACTTCTTTTCAGTTAAAAACGTGTTAGAAGAAAGCTTAATACAACATGACCACATTATATTGAATACCGCGATATATTGTGCAGCAAAGCAACCCATAGATAACCAGACGTTTATTCACGAGCCGACGACAATTGTTATACAAAATCGTGCAAGCTGTAAAAAAGCACTCAGCCGACTGCAAATAAAAGATCATCGATGAAAAAAAAAATTTGCTTTGGAACACCGATTGAGAGTAAAATAACTAACAGCTTGCCACCCCCACCCCCTCAAAAGTTGCTATCTTATGGACCCACCTCCCTTCAGTATTTCCGTTGCCCTCCTTGGGGGAGGGGGGAGGGGGTATGGACATTTTCTGGAATTACACATTTAATAATTATATTACCATAGGTTCTTACTTTGAAATCCGTTTTAACGTAATTCTTTCCCTCCTTTAACTTCATCTGTAGGTTTTGCGCTGTACGTGCGTCAAACCCACTGTCAACAAGGTTCCCAATGAGTTGTTCCAAGTCATCAAAGGCCTTGCTACCCTCACAAACAAAGTAATCGAGACCTTGTAAGGACTTTCGCGTAGATGCCTGACAGGAGGATAAAATGCGTCGTAATGTGCTGTTGCTTAGAGGTTTCACCTCTGTTTCGTTGCAATACTGCACGTATTGGTCAATGATGGGTCCGCTGACCGATACTCTGATAACATTCGGTGTCTGCACTACTTCCCCAGTCGACAATTTCAGAAACCGTTCACCGAATGGTAAATCCTGCACGATGTAGGGACTGGTAATAAAATCCAAGAAGTGATCCAACTGGTTAAGATCGATTCTCCATCTCGGGCTTTGTTTTGCAATTACAGGAGCTCCTCGCCCAGAAACTAAAATATGTTGTCTTGCTTGACAAAACATATATTTTGTTAGGCCTGGAATGTAATTGCGTATTTCTTGCAACGTGGTGATATCCGCCATTATAGAAAGAATTTGCAGTTTAACATTTGCACTTGTGGCGTTATTGTATGATTCAGAAAGCGCTCGCAGATACTTCACGTCATCTTCTCTTAAGGCAACCTCTTTACGTACTTCTAAAGCTTCACACATGTCGTTAGAGTCCTTTACGTTTAGCCACAGTTCACAGGGTAGGTAGGTAGGTAGGTAGATTTTTTATTTAAAACTCGGTAAAATCTTCAGTAATAATAGAGTAAAAATCTAATCACAATTAATTAGACTAAAAACTATCGACATACTGTTTTACAAGACTGCCGAGTGAGAGTCCGACGACTCAAATACATGTTTGATTTGCTCTTTAAATTTCCTGACTGATTTAGTTTCTCTCACATTTTCGGGTAAAGAGTTCCACAACAAAGCACCGCTGTAACTGAAACTTCGTTTCAAGTAGTTAGTACGCGGCCTGGGCAACGTCAATTTATGAAAGGAATTGCGCAAATCATAGTCTGTGCTTCGTTCGTGAAATAGGTTCTGCAAGTACACTGGAGCTTGTTCATTTAGAGATTTAAACATCATTATTGCTTTATGCTTCTTTCTCCTTATAACTAATTTGTCCCATTTGAGTATATCAAGAAGCAGGCTCGAGCTAGTCCCATAGTTGGCCTTTAAAATTACTCTAGCTGCACGGTTCTGTAACTTTTGTAATTTGTCACTCAGTTGATCACTTAAGCCATCCCAAACAAGGCTACAGTAATCAAAGTGAGGTTGAATTAAGGAGTTATAGACTAGTACCGCAGTAGATTGGGAGATAAGGGGCCTAATACGTCTAAGGGCACCTATAGCCGAAGTTACCTTCTTACACAATTCGTTAACATGATTAGACCAGGAAAGCCGATTGTCAATAATGAGACCTAATGATTTTGCGTGATCAACATTGCTGATAACTTGGTCTTCTAGTTTGATGTTTATTTCGTTATGGCTTTCCGCGAGAAGCTTCTGGCGAGAGCCAATAACCATAAACTCGGTTTTCGCAACATTAAGACTAAGCTTATTGGCTTTTAGCCAACAGTGAAGGTTCAGTAGTTCTAAGTTAGTCTCTTGTTCAAGGTCAGCTAGAGAGGAACCAGAAATGGTAATAGTTGTATCATCTGCGAACATTTTAGCGCATGCTGAATTAAGGCAGTTTGGAAGATCGTTTATATAGATTAAGAAGAACAAAGGACCGAGAATACTACCCTGTGGGACTCCGCATCTTAGTTCGCTTGCACTGGACAATACGCCATTAACATAACATTTCTGGCTCCTGTTACCTAGGTAGGAGGCAAAGAATCGTAGGGAACCCAGATCAAGTCCATAGTTTGCAAGTTTATGTAACAAAATTGCATGGTCAATGGTGTCAAAAGCCTTTTTAAGGTCGATATATACCACACCATTTAAAAGGCCGTTATCTATGTTAATAGACCAGTTGTTCGTTGATTCAAGTAGCGCCGTCATGGTGCTATGGAGCGATCGAAAGCCGGATTGATAAGTATTCAAATGTTTGTTTTTATCTAGGTAATCGTAGAGTTGTTGATAGATAATTTTCTCGAATAGCTTTGAGACAATTGGCAATACAGAAATTGGTCTATAGTTATTCAGGTCAGATTTTGATCCTTTTTAAAGATAGGAGTCACCTTGGCGATTTTCCATTCATCTGGAAAGGTTTCTGTTTCTATACAGCTATTAAAAATTTTCGTTAATGATGGTCCAATAATGGAACTGGCTAATTTCAGAAGTTTACAAGGAACTCCGTCCAATCCCATGGCTTTCTTTTCGTCAAGCTCACTTAGTAGTTCACACACAGTTGTGACACTAAGAGCCCTTAAGGAGAAGGCTGTTTTAGTGGGTTGTAAATAACTTTCAGGGTCGATATTAGAAGGTGATAATTTACTGGCTAGATTTGGTCCAATAGAGGTGAAAAAAGTTATTAAAAGCTTCTGCAATTTCAGGCGCAGAATTTAAAGTTTCGTTATCTGTTTTAATTTCAGTGATATTGCGGTTTGTGCAAGATTTACGCGAGCTCAGTTCGTTAATTAGCTTCCAAGTTTTGGACGAATTCTTTTTATTCAACTCTAAGTTGTGCAAAAAATACTGACGTTTGGCTGATTTGATAGCATTGTTAGTTTCATTCCGCGCTTGCTTGTATTGTTCCCAACTAGCCGCATTGTTTTCAATAATAGCTTTCTTTTTCAAATAATTTCGTTTATAGATTTTACGCATCAGGTCATATGTAATCCACGGAGAATGCTTTTTTGAGATCCGCTTTGTTTTCAGTGGGGCATGTTTATCGACAATTTCCATGAACAGGGTTTTCCACGCATCCCACATAGCAGTTGGATTTGGCTCTAAGCTAATTAAATCCCATGGCTGTTGAACAAGGTCATTTAAAAATTTGTCGCTGTCAATTTTTTTGTAATCACGAGTTTCGATAGTACGGTGCGTGCCAACACGTTCATAACGTATTTTTATAGTCACAAAAACCAGTGAGTGATCGCTAATCCCAAGATGAACGACACCAGAGTTAACAATTTTTTCGGGAGAATTAGTTATACAAAGGTCAATTAATGTGCGTGATCTTGATGTAATCCTGGTTGGTTCAGAGATCATTTGGCTCAATCCGTAAATATCAAATATATTCGTTAAATTGGACGAAATGTGGTAGTTTGACCGATTGTGCAACATATCACAGTTCAGATCTCCCAGCAGGTAGAAATCGTTGTTTTCCGAGTCAATTTTATCCACCAGGATTTCAAATCGACTAAAAATGTCCTGGGAGGAACTTGGAGGTCGGTACCACGTGCTTCCCTTACCAAACCATATGTATTTTGAAACTGATTTTAAAGTGTTTAAAATGTATTTTCAGTATTCGAATACTATTTTCCTGTATTTTAATCCTATTTGACAAAAAAATTTAAATTTTCGCCCCTGTTTGGAATATATCTTAAGTGTAGTTAAATTATATTTCATCAAAAGGAAAACCTCTCTCATCAATTTACAATGTATTTTGTTTAATAAATACGATTAAAATAGGGTATTTCAAATGTATTTTGGGCATAGAACCACTAACACTGTTACAAACAGAGTTCAAATAGACTATTTGAAATATGTTTTAAGGGCTTAAATGCGACTGTTTTTTAAATACTTTTAAATAGGGTGCTTTAACACTGTTTTGAGTTGCATCTACAATGTATTTTGAGGCGCATCCACTCAAAAAGTTACAAACATAATTCAAATAGACTATTTAAAATATGTTTTGAGAGCCTAAATGCTGACCGTATCTTAAATACTTTTAAATAGGGTACTTTAACACTGTTTTGAGTTGTATCGAAAATGTATTTTGAGACGCATCCACTCACAAAGTTACAAACAGAGTTCAAATAGACTATTTGAAATATGTTTTAAGTCCTTAACTACTGACCGCATTTCAAATACTTTTAAATAGGGTACTTAAACACTGTTTTGAGGTCTATTTGAATTGTATTTTGGGCACACAACACTCTGACTATAAAAACAGATTGTACATAAAATATTTAAAGTCTGCTGAAAGACATCAAATGCTGACCTTATTTTAAATACTTTAAAATAGGGTACTTATTACTTATTATTATTGAGGTGCAACATTGTAATGTATT